CTCGACGAAGCTGCTGCGTGGGGCAACGTGGCTGCCAGCTTTGCTATCGAGCAGGTCGGTGTGCCTGTGTTGGGCCAAGACGCCGATGGCCAAGAGACGTGGAACGGAGTTCGAGTCGAGGACCGCTATTCAGCGTACGCGTCTCTGCTTCGTAAAAGGGGTATTCTAATGGACTAACCCTCTGGAGAGTATCGTATCTCGTCAAGGGGCACACGGGCCCGGGGCAGCCAACAACAATCTCACCTCATTTCTACAGCAGGAGGCGTTCTTATATCCATTTCCACTTCGTTTCGGTTTTATTTTTGACGGCAGGAAAAGCATGGCCACGATACGACGACACGCATATAGACTTTCTTTTAGACAGGTTTCGTTAGAAGATCATTTTTGTTGTTCTTGAGAAAAACAAAATTTGAATTTGATTTCGATTTTGTTTCTGGTATTCTTCCACTGCTCCATTCACATTACGTCTCCTCACTCAACATGTGACGCATTGAACAAATCATTCCCATGTACATGGCAGAGACAATCAGATACAAGACATAACAAAACCCGCATTAAAAAGCACAACATGCCCGTTCTATCAGATAACGCCGGCCGTCGTCACGAAACCATCAGCATCAGCATCCGTCCCCTGGCCACGTTGCCGCTTACAGGCGGTACACCAGGTTGCCGCCCGTGTACATGACCTGGTTGTCCTTCTCCATCTTCTCCAGCGCCAGAATCGTGTCGGCACGCGAGAAGGGACCACCACTGCTGCTCGGCATCGACGCAATCTTCTCGTTGACGGAGGCGATAATGTCGTCGACACTGGCCGCGTCGTTCTGGAACAGGTCCGTGCTCTGCAGCTGGCCGAGAAGACGGCGGAAGGTGTTCATGCGAGCCGGTGCCAGGGTCGCTGGTGCAGCAGCCGCGGGTGCAATGCTGAGAGCAGCAGCGCCGCTAGCGAGCTCGTCAGCCTCCTCCTCCTCGTGGTCTTCGTCGTCGTCGTCATCGTCGTCATCATCGTCGTCCTGTGTAGCCCGCCGTCTCTGCGACTGGGATTGCGATACCAGGCGCGACGAGGGGAGCGACGAAGCAAAGGATGTGCTGGACTGTGTACCGGCACCGCCCGACCGTGTTGTGCGTGAAGGCGTTGCTGGGTCAATGTCACCGTCGGCGTCTTCCTCGTCATCGTCTTCATCAGCGGCTGCTTGTTGTCGGCCATTGGTCGCAGCTCCGCCGCGTGCCCGTGCCGAGGTGCGGGTGGACCGTGATCCGCTGGGAGTACCGGCGGCGCCTGTCCGACGGAAAGTACCATCAGCTGCATCGTCGCCCTCGTCGCTCGACTCGTCGTCGTCGTCGTCGTCGCTGCCCGACTCAGCGTTCTCGGCGTCGTCGAGCGTCCGCGTCTTTCTCTTCTTGCGGCGCGACTTGTCCTCAACGACTTCCTTGAAGAGGGCGAAGCGCAGGATGGCCTCGGCCGCTAGCGCATCGCGCTCGTCAACGCGGTTCGACAGACGCGACTTGGCGTGTGCAGTCGCCAGACGGATAATGGTCTCCAGCGTACGAACCGTCATGGGGCTGGTGCGGCGCTGGTTGCCCTCCATCTCGTCGTTGCGTAGCGCCACGTAAATGTCGGAGATGCGGTCCGACGCTTCTTGAGTCAAGACAGGGCGCACACGCGTCTTGGCGTAATGGATATACTTCTTAAGGAAGGGGATGGACAGAAGCTCCTTCTTCTTGTTGGCAGCCGGGCGGCCACGACCCGACGTGCCGCCGCTGACACCCGCGTGCAGCATGTCGTTGTGCTTCTCAAAGACGTCCGTAGGTCGCTGCGACGAGCCTCCGTTCGCTTGGCTCTGCATGCCGACCGACAGAGCCTGCTGGCCCTGCTCACGGACAGGGGCGCCCTCCTCGGTGCCCGGTTGGCGGTAGCGGTGCATACGCAGAACGTGCTCGGAGATCTGACGATCGCGCGTGTCTTCAATGTCGTCGGTGACAACAAAGAGCAAATCGAAACGCGAGAGCAGCGAATCGGGCAGCGCAATGTTCTTGTGCGGGTCCTTGTGTGGGTCGTACTGGCCAAACACAGGGTTGGCGGCCGCGACGACACTGCACCGGGCGTTAAGCGAGGTGTGGATGCCGGCCTTGGCAATGGTGACGGTCTGCTGTTCCATGACTTCGTGGATGGCCACACGGTCAATGTCGGACATCTTGTCGAACTCGTCGATACAAACCACGCCACGATCGGCCATGACCATGGCACCGGCTTCGAGGCGGCGCTCGCCCGTCTCCTTGTCCGTGGTCACGGCGGCAGTCAGACCAACACCGGACGAGCCACGACCCGTCGTGGCAATGGCCAGCGGCGCGGTGTTGAGGACGAAACGCAGCAGCTGCGACTTGGCCGTCGAGGGGTCACCAACCATGAGAATATTGATGTCACCACGCAAATGGGTGCCGTTCTCCAGGTTCTTCTCCATACCACCGAGTAGCATGAGCAAAACAGCCTTCTTGATGTGGTCGTGGCCGTAGATGCTGGGTGCGAGCGACTGTGAGAGCAGCTCAAACAGATTCTTCTTCTTGGCAATCTTGTTGATGTTGCGCAAGTCGGTGTCGGTAATGTCGACAGTCGAAATGCCGCCGCCAGCCTTGGACGACAGCAGCACGACGTTGTTGGCGAGCAGGATCGTCTTGAAGAGGGCGCTGCTGTGGTTGGTGTTGCGGTTACCGAGCGTGCGGAAAATGCCAACAATCTGCACGCGGTCACCAGGCTTGACATGATCAACGAGGTCGTCGTCAAGCATGACATCGACACCACGCGGCAGCTGACCGGCTGGCGCCCGCTCGGGCATCTCTTGGATGGAAATGGTCTGGTTGTCGCGGTAGGTGGAGAAGCCATACTCGGTGACGAGCGCATTGCCGTTGTCGTCCTGCTGCGGGTAGGCGCTGGTTGTGGTGGCGCCGTTGGTCATAGTCTGGTCACGATATTCGCGATAGTAAAAGGTGTCGTTGGCGGCGCTGTGGTGCACACTCTTGATGACCTTGGGGTGGATCAGTGAGCAGCGTGTGACAATGCCCTCAATGGAGACCATCTGGTTGAGGTGCTGGGACGACAGCGTGCGCGGGTTGCAGGCGTGCATACCGAAGCTGCCGGCCCAGGCACAGTAGTACGGCACGTCGTCGTCGGTCTGGTCAGGACGCGCGTTGGGAATTGCCTTGACAATGTTCTTGAGCGCCTGGTTGAAGGCGAGTGTGAAGTCAAAAGGCTGCGTCAGCAGGCCGTCGGCCATCTCGGGCCGCGTATCGCGAACATGGTCAATGTTGACCACGAGGCGGCGCTGGTTCTTTTGCAGCATCGTGATGATGCTGGGGCGATAGGTGCGGACATTTTGGTCGTCTGCAAGGAGCGGGAGCAAGTTAGGGAAAGCTGCCAACAGCGATAACAGTAAACTTGAAGCAAAATGCGGGTCGTAAACATACTGGGATCAAGGAATTCCTCCGCCTGGCGGACGCGGTCGCGCGCCGCGTCGTCGCGGAGCAGGATGCTGTCCATTGTGCCCGCAATCAAGGTGTGGTGACAATCGTTCGCGGTGACGGATGATGAGACTGAAAAGAAGGAGGTGGGAGTATCGTCCTGCGCAGCGTTGAGTTTGAGGTCAAAGAGAAACAAGGAAAGGAGCGAACGAGGCAAGAATGCAAAGAAAGTATGAAAAAAAGGCAAGTGCGAGGCGACGAAGCAAACAGAAAACAGCAAAGGCAAAGCGGGAAGGAGTTAATTGCAAAATAGCAACGGGGTTCTCTTTCCTGGAGGGGAAAAGGTTTAATGAGGTGCAGGAGCGACAGTTGGAAGAGGGGGCAGGAGCGACGCGTCGTGGACGCGTTTACGCGTTAAGTGGTTTAGCTCCCGCCCTTTTTAGGCCAGGGCCCAGCCAACCAATTTCGCGTGCTGCCGTCTAGCCAGTGCACAATAGCGCAAGCGAATTAGGTAATCAAGTTTATGCACATTTCACATTGGTTTTATGCACTGCCTTGTTTAAACTCCATCCTAACAACCTTCACACAGTCATTACGATAAAGTTCGGACGACGGCCACGACCAGCAAAAAACTCGACTGGCATGCTTATCCAATCCCTGTGATATGTCACCCTCCTTAATACATCATGCACAGCAGTTCCATTTCTCATCGATTTTACGGATACGATAGCGCACTTTCGTAGTTAGTGTCGTTTTTATGCAGGTCGAATCACTTCGGGCACCGACCACCGAAGCTCGTTTGACGAGGGGGTTCTACGGCGTGGCCGTGTGACAACATTTACTTCTTGGCCAGTTGTATCTTTTTGACTTGTCCCTTTTGGTTGATTTACTTGATGATGCCCGCGATAACATACGAATCCTGGACCAGGCCGTACGTTGGTCTTTGGGCTCAAACACATTGGTGTGTCAACAACTCAGTGTTCCGCGTCCACCTTCCATTTTTCATACCCGGGCCGAGCTAGGAAAATGTTGTGACTGTAACTGTATGCCAAGCGAAATAAACGTACGTCCGAGTTGTGTTGACCAAGGTATGGTATACAATGCCATGAGACTCGGCCTGCTGTTGGCCTATGGTCCGCGGTTTTGACTCACTACATGTAATGTGTTCCACTGCAGGCCACGCGGCCTGCTGTCCCTTCCTTGTGCTAGGTTCACCACAAGAGCCTAGATTGGCCGGTCTTGTGTTCTGTCGGCGGTGGAAGGGTAAATTAATTGCGATTGTGGCAGCACCAGTTGAATGCTGCTTTGATTAAGGAAGGCATTCACTCGCATCGGGATGCCAAGAATGGAAGGCTGTATTGGAAACACTGAATCCCTTAACCAACAGATGGCTAGCGTTGAGACGTGGCTCCGTTCGGTTTGTTGTGCGCACTTGGAGATGACGAGACGAACGGCCATGGCCGAAAAACAAGGGTGGGGGGACAAGACGAAGAGACGCACAAAATACGAGCTGTGACAGAACAAAACAGAAAAGACACAGAAGGGTGTCATGATGTCGCATATGGGATGGCTGTTCCTTGCCCTGTTAAGAAGTGGTCATCAGAAGCGAGATGGGTTGCACTCCGCCGAGCGGTCGAACAAACAAACATATTAGCATGCAGCTGCTGGCTTTCACGTGGTACGACAGGATGCAGCAGCGCAATGGTCAACTGGTTCGTCTTCAGTATTTTCTTTTGGATCATGAACTTCTGTTTTGGTGACGGAAGGACTCGCTTGTCTCTGTGACTGGCGTAACACAGCGCGTTTGTACGAAAATCGCATAAATGCTCTTCACGCGCGGGGTGTCGCAAGAATTCCTCGAGGAGAACGTAGGACATGCAACAGTGGCCAGCGGAAACGGCACCCGTAGACACGCACGGAAGACTAGACCGAGCGGCATTTTTCTGTTAGTATTGTCACCCTGGTACGGAGATGTATTCTGCGGCGCGACAGACGCACCGACGTCGCCCTCGAACGTGAGCCGATATCCGACGCTGAATTCGAGAAAAAAGAGCGATGGCGGTCGGAGGCCATCGTGACTATTCGTTATTCACAGTTCAACTTCCGGTAGGTTGCGGATGCTGCAAGATACGTGTTGGCATTCAGGTCTCGGCATTAAACGCTGAGCGTTAAAATGACATTTGACCTGAGCGAAACTGAGAAATGATAAGAAGTCGAGCTAAGTGTACGAATGATGCTGAATACGACCCTGCAGCTGCATGCGGAGCATGTGATGTGCTCTGGAGAACAAACGCAAACACCTCTTCCTCCGCACACCTGCATGCACTGCGACATAACGACAAGCAGAAAGGGGGGAGAATTTGGCGAATCAGGCAGCTTGCCGATAAAGTCGGCCGTTGGCAGGATTGGACGAGCCGGCATGTTATTGTCGTCCCGAAAACGCAGGGGGCAGGCATATGCGTCGAGGGTGTAATCGCAGTGTTGTGGCTAGGAGAAGGGCGGTGCAGGACAACCGCTGAGACGTCTGAATGGAGATAAGATGAAGAAGGCCAAAGGGATTGCTGTTAAGAAAAGGCTGGAGATTGCTGTTAAGAAAAGGCTGGAGCGAGGCTTGCAAGGAAATAGGGTTTGGGCGGGGAAAGGAAAGAAAGAATGAGAGCCATGTAAGAGGACGGATGAGGAAAGCGCAACTGGCCACAAAAACCGACGATATCAAAATGAAAGCGGAAAGCGCGGATGAGGAATAACACAGAGGCAGGAGCAAAAAAAACGAGCAAAAGAAACACAGAAAGTACTAGAATGGGGAAGGAGGTAACGACAAGAACAACAGGGGGTGAGTAAACGAACCATAAAAACAATAAAACAAAACCCATCACATACACGACAACAAATTGGTACTGCGTCTATCCGTTCACCGGTTGATTTGACCAACTCACCAGCTAGCCGCTCTTGACACCATCAGCATCAGCCCAGAATCGGGGAGCGGTGTGTTGCCGACAGTTGATGTCTGGTTCTTACATGATTTTGGGGGCGACAAATTCCGGGTTTCGTCCATTATTCGACTTTCGTCATGTCCATATCGATTCTGGGATCCCGCGTCGGCATCCACTGTCTGCACGCACCCGCTGGTCATACGAGCCCCCTCTGTTGCTCGCTTGCCTATCAACAGTGGTTTTGTTTGCTCAAAACAACAAAACGCAATTACGAAGTGGAGAAAAAAAGAACAAACGCCATGGTCTTCGGTTGAAGTAGGAACGTCCTTGACCGGTTGCTTGCCTGCCTGAGCACAGTCAAGAACCTTGGCAGCCGTTGTCCATGGCTAGTGCTCTCTTTGGAGTTGGAGAACATCTGCTGGCTTATGTTGCTCGACTTACAAGGCATCTAGCTCGTTCTTTGATAGTCGGATCCCCCGCTTCGGAACTGGGTCTTCGAGCCTAGTCAGGTCGGCGCTTCCCGTGACTTTACTATATTTACAGACTGCGTCCATTGTTCCTGGACGAATTTCGTTTTCTTTCACGCAACTGTCCACATTTCGTCCCTTCAACACTAACGTTTTCTCTCAGCGGTTGCACCCGTCCCTCTGATCTGCCCACCAGTATGCATCTCAGAGACACCGATCCCTTCAGCATGCAGGACACGAGCCGGTGTGAGTCCGTTATCACTCGGGCGCCGACCACTGGCGTAGTTGAGTCTGCCTCTGCGCCTCCTGCTGCCGCATCGGCTGTTCTACATCGCCAGATCCATCACGAGTTTCCATCTATTGTCCGTGGTGAGGGCAGTTACCTCATCTTGGATGACGGCCGGCGCATTCTAGACGCCTCCGGCGGTGCAGCCGTCGCTTGCATCGGCCACGGTGATGGCCGCGTGGCCGACTCTGCCATGGCCCAGATGCGATCCGCAGCGTACTGTGCCACTATCTTTTACACGAACACGGCCTGCGAGCAGCTGTGCCGTTATCTCGTTGACTCGACCGGCGGCCACATGGCCCGAGCCTACATTGTTTGCTCCGGCTCCGAGGCTATGGAGGCCGCTTTGAAGCTAGCCCGCCAGTACTACTTGGAAAAGGCAGAGCCAGAGCCGCGGCGCACCCGTTTCATCGCCCGTAACCGGTCGTACCACGGCATCACGCTTGGCGCGCTGGCTGTGGGTGGCCACAAGACACGGCGTCAGCTGTTCGAACCGTTGATGCCGAAGAACATCTCGCATGTTTCCCCGTGTTTTGCCTACCGCGGCAAGACGGCAGACGAGTCGGACGCTGCTTACGTGTCCCGCTTGGCCGACGAGCTGGATGCCGAGTTCCAGCGCGTGGGTCCGGACACAGTCTGTGCCTTTGTGGCCGAGCCTGTCGTCGGTGCAGTGTGTTCTCTCGTTCTCTTCGTCACTACACCATACTTCCTGAAACGCGTACTGACCGTCTCCTATTTTCTATAGGCTCTCGGCTCCGTGCCATCGGTGCCTGGATACTTCAAGGCTATCCAGGCCGTGTGCCGCAAGTACGGCGCCCTGTTGATTTTGGACGAAGTTATGTGCGGTATGGGGCGCACCGGCACTCTGCACGCCTGGCAGCAGGAGGGCATCGCACCTGATATTCAGACGATTGGCAAGTGCCTGGGAGGCGGATATCAGCCCATTGCCGGCGTCCTGGCTAGCCACGGTGTCATTGATGTCCTCAGCAAAGGCACCGGGTGAGTCTCATCTCCTCCCCCGTCATGCTTCGAGTCCACTTCACATTCTGACTATGTTTAGCGCCTTCGTCCATGGACACACCTACCAGGGCCACCCCGTCGCCTGTGCCGCCGCCCTCGCCGTGCAGCGTATTATTGCCGAGGAGGACCTGTTGGCCAACGTGCGCACACTCGCCCCCGTCCTCTCAGATCTGCTTGTCCAGCGGCTGGGCGACCACCCCAACGTCGGCGACATCCGCGGCCGCGGCTTCTTCTGGGGTATCGAGTTCGTACAGGACAAGGCTGCAGCGCGGCCGTTCCCTGCCGCGGACCATGTGGCCATGGAGATTGCAGAGCTGGGCGTCGCCACTGCCGATTATGCTGTTGCCGTCTATCCCGGTTCAGGCACGGCCGACGGAGTGTCAGGCGACCACATCATCCTCTCGCCGCCGTACAACGTGACGAAGGCAGAGATCCACACGATTGTCGACCGGGTGGCACGGTTGGTTGAAGACTACTTTGCGACGAAGAAAGATGCCGGGCTGGTGGATGCCAAGTTATGAGGAGTTGTTTTCGAACAGAGGCACATTGATACGAATGAGACGGTGAAACAAGCGGCGTGTATCCATAAAGTACCGTCCGTTTTAGCAGAGCGAGAGATGCTCGGATAATAAGAACTTGGTTGAGCCACAGACGGGCCAGATTTGGTGTTTGAAAGAAGCGTTGTCGGCAAATAGAGGGCTATAATCCGAATTTCAATATGGCTACGTATGGCATTTTAGTAAGAGCCTTGCCGTTCGCAGACGATCGTAGATTGAACTGCCACTTCGCATTGTCGTCCTCAAAACTTCGGTCGAGTTGTGTCCGTCTGTCGACTGACGTTGATAGAATTGGCTGGTTCCCTTCCTTCGACTGGTGGACTTTTGCGCCTCTCAGTGCACCACTGAAACCCCACTTTCGCTCGTGGTCAAGAGTGCTGTAATTCCAGGAAAGCATGGCGGACTACAGTGGGTCGACGTCCTGGCGGGACGCCAGCTATGGCAACAGCACCTCGCTCGCAGCCTCGCTCGCGCCTGCCTCTCCCACGCTTGCAAAACGCTCCTTCTCCTCGTCGGCAACTGCGACCTCACCCGCATCCGCGACTTCCCCATTGCCGTCGCCCCGCTCGCCCTATTCGACGACACGCTCCTTTTCTGATTATCCCAACGACCGATTCACCTCTCCCTCCCTCACCGCCGCGTCGCGCCGCACCTCGTACCTCTCAACGCGCGTTCGCATGATGGCCGTCGGCCTGACGCCCGGCGGTACCACTGCCAGCTTGGGCCAGCGCCACGCCGCTGAAGAAGAGGCCCGCGCCGAGGTCGATGTGTTGAGCTCGCGCCTCGAGAAGACATCACAGCTGACCAAGAAGATCGAGGCTTGCCTCAACCGCCTCGATGCCACGGGCAAGAGCGTACGCGAGGTGGCCGGGCCACTGAGCGGCGAGACCAAGCGGCTGCAGACCTTGGGGAACAGTAAGCCCCCTGTCCTCTGAAGATATGCGCGTGGCTCTATGAGGTCCTCGTACTAGAGATACTAATTGCCCTTGCCCAGACATTGAAAGCGTCATTGCGGCAATTGAACGGCTGCGCCAGCCCGCCGAGAACAAGAACGAAGAGGAGCTCATCATCCGCGCCGGCCCCGAAAAGGCCGGCCTGTCCAAGTACCTCTCGTCCGTACAGCGCCTCGACCGCTCCCTCAACGAAATGAAGGCGTCCAACATCCGCTCGACGCAGCAGACGATTGGCGAACTGCAGCGCATCACTTCGTCCGCCAATGCCCAGCTTGAGAGCTACTTTGACCAGCTGCTGCGCGTTGAGACTCCACCCGAGATCGAGCCGCTGCACTTTGCCACCAAGAACAAACCCTTCCCATTGCTGACCCAATACACGACATCGCGTCTCGGCCTTATCAATGCTCACCTGGCCGCTTCGGTGCGGAATAATGGCAGTGGTGCTGGGGTGGGTGGCCCTGCCAGTTCCTCAATGCTGTCCGCCGGTTCTGCCAACCAAGACTCGCCCGTGGCCCGCATCTATGCCGACATCCGGGGACCGTATCTCGCCAACACTCTCAAGAATCTGGCCGCCGCCAGTGTCAGTACGACCAAGAAAAAGACCGCCGACGCCATCTACCGCTCCGGCACCAGCGGCATCGGCATGTACGCCCAGTCCATGGAGGGTATGTTTTTGGCCGAGCACGAAAACATTTGCAGTATCTTTACGCGCGACGACTGGGCCCCCGTCTTCCAGGGCACCTGCCAAAATGCACTGAACGAACTTGCCCGCACCCTGCGCGAGCTCAACAGCCACATCAAGACCCATCCGCAGACCGACTGCTACCTGGCCTACGAGGTCGTCGAGATCATCTCGGGCCTGTCGAACAAGCTCGAGACTCGGACTGGTGAGCTCAAGTCGGCCCTGGCCGCATCCCTCAAGCCCGTCCGCGACACGGCCAAGTCGTCGCTGGGCGAGCTGCTCGAAGACACTAAGCGCCGCGTCACGGCACTGCCGACGCTGCCGCTGGACGGCGGACCTGTGCCCATTGTCTCCGAGACCATGCAACGCCTGCAGACCATGGTGGATTTCCTGCGGCCCATCTCGAGCATTATGATCTCGCTGGGCGACGGTGGGTGGCGGGCAGGTGCCGCACCACGTGGAGGCGGTGGAGGCGGTGCGTCGGATGCCATTCCCAGCCTGGCCTCCTTTGACGTCGGCGCCGACGGCCGCGAGATCTTTGCACACTACTGTACCGACACCATTGACGGCCTGCTTTCGGCGCTCGATGCGCGCGCGCGCGCGTCCCAGGGTCGCAAGCCTGTGGTTGGCGTGTTCCTCGCAAACAGCATCGCCATCATCGAGCGCATGATCCGCGACTCGGACCTCACGTCCCTCTTGGAAACGCGCCAGGCCAGTGTGTTGGAGCCGTGGCGGAAAAAGGCCACTGTGCTTTACACCGAGACCTGCAAGGACGTGTCGATGCACCTCTTTGATGTGATCCACACAAACCGTGCCGGCGGTGGCGGTGGCGGCGGCGGTGGGCGGCCTGCTTCGAGCCAAAACGGCGTGGACTCATCGTCGATTGTGCGCGGCCTGTCGTCCAAGGACAAGGAGAACATCAAGGGCAAGTTTACAGCGTTTAACCTGTCCTTTGACGACATGGTGGCCAAGCACCGCTCGTTTAGCATGGAGCGCGAGGTGCGCCAGGCGTTTGCCCGTGACATTCAGCAGATGCTCGAGCCGCTGTACAACCGGTTCTGGGACCGTTATCACGAAATCGACAAGGGCAAGGGCAAATATGTCAAGTACGACAAGGCGAGCATCTCGGCTGTGTTTGTGAGCCTGTACTAGTCCTTCAAAGCTTGGGTTCATGCGATCTTGTCTTCCACGGAGAGGGCCTACTAGAACCGCTGAACACTTTTGTCAGAGCCTGTTGAGTTTCTGCTGGAGCTACTGAAAGCCTCTGCCTTTTTCTCTCGTCTCTCTGCACCTCATTTTCCTTTTTTTACAATCTCAACAAGAGCGCATGATCTCACAACGCAGACGGTGCAGCGGACCTTCGATTAGGCAACAACGATTCGGTGAGAGAGGTTGACAAGCTTAGGAACGAAGACGTATGGAAAGGATCAGAGGCTGCAGGAGGCGAAGCATGATTTGCGGTGCATCTGCGCCCAGCGCTGCTTCGCTCCCTTTTCTCGTCCCCACCTTGTGTCAAGCTGCAGGCAACGCGCCAAATTCGCTGCACGAGAGAAAACATACCGACATTTCTTGCTCATCCCGCCGCTTCCGTTTCGTTTATGTTCTCACCACGTTGCATTTTGGACGCAATAGTGCTCGCTGTGGTGGAGGGGCGTGTGCATCTGTATTGTTTCCTTTTGCGCCCTTGTCTACCTCCTCACCTGTTGCTCACCACACCTCTTGCTCGGCTTCTTCATGCTTCTTCCAACACCACGCATTATGCATGCAGCAGAGCACATGAGTAGCTCCACATTGGAAACACACCGGCACAATCGAGGGCGGGGACGAAAAAAAAGAACTAGAAACAAGTGCCGGGACAGCAGGGATGACCGAAACCGTGCTGTTGGGATAGTGAAAGGTACTGGGAAAGACGCACAGTGGCGTGGGCAGCTACGTAAGCACTTTTGGACAAGGCTGTGATATGGTTGGCTTTCGTTTTGCGTGAATCTCAAGGCTCACCCTCGTCCGCTTTTTCTGTCTACGGCGTCGGGCACGTATTGGTCAGGAAAGACAGGTTGGCCTCACTGCATCTCTCACCACTGCATATGTTGCACTTTGCTACGCATAAAGTTGTCATACACGCAAAGTTGTGCAGCACGCTGAGAAGCAAACCTTTCAAAAAGGACCAAATCAAAACAGCTGTGACCATCCCACTCTTTTTCCGCCACATCGATCTCTTCTTCTTTCACTGCACAGAGGATCAACATCGAGAGGGGATCACTCTTTGCGCATTACAAATGGTTACCAGATTGTGCGGAGGGGGCACATCCAAATGATTGAGGGAAGGGCTGGTCTCCCCTCAGGCGCACGTGCTCACAAACGAACCAAAATGGCAAAAAGTCACAGTTTTCAATTGATAAAGGCGCTTCAGCTGGTGCAGCAAAGCGAGCAGTTATGAGTATGGATCGGACAGGGGTCGAAGGAAGGATTGCAGGGCTACATGGTCTCTCACTCTCGGGCCCGAGAAGAGAATATGGCCTGCATATTTTCATAGCGAGGGTCACTTTCGAGGAGTATGAGGTGTGTGAATTGGTATTTCCTGTTTTGGACGTTTGGGGGCGAAGGTGTAGTTGTGAAGTCTCTTTTTTCGGGGGGGATTTATTGCTCATTGTATTAGGTCATTTTCATACCCATTCATGTTATCTTTTGTTAATCGTTTCTCGTCATAATAAAACACAATCTCGAACAACAGTGGCAAGAATTAAACATAAATAAATAAATAAACTAATCCAAGATTGCGTGAATTGTGTGAGCGGTGACAACACTTGTGACAACAGCTTCAGAGGTCCAAAGTGACACGATAGGTCACAAACGGACCGCATATTGTGCCCGTAATTTTCTGCAGCTTGTCCGCCTTGTTGGCGATGTGCAATGCTCCTTTGAGCTGCTCGTATAATGCGCTCAATTCCAGCCTTTCATTGTTGATGATCACTGCCAGATAAAGGCAGTCATGGAGTTGGAAGTTCGACTCTGGTGTCTAGTTTTGTTGTCACCCCCCCAAAAAGCGTAAAAGCCCTTTTTTAGACATCATATCCAAAATAACAGATAGACATGAGGCTAGCGAGGTGGCCGGAGCAAGGCAGCAACACGTGTGCATCTCTCTTGGAGAATATGGCGAGAAACGGCCTCGTTAAGGTGAGCAACCCCGGAGTGATCAGCGCAAGGTGTTCATTTCCAATGCAGGTTGGCTCACATCTCCTTAGCTAAAACAAAAGACTGCAAGGCCACAGCGGCGTGAACCAGGCTTTTAATGCGGCCGACTTTGTTGTCGCTGTTACTTCTTTCCCTCTCTTGGTCGGTTGATGGAGAGAGGAGACAGCCGTGCATGGGCGAGGTAGGAGTACACTGTTGCCCAGAACGACCGTGCAGAGCTTGACGACATGCAGGACGCAGACTCCGGGGAGGGCAGACAATGCACAATGCCATTTTGAGTCGACTGGAGGGCGAAAGATGCAAGGCGACCTGACAATGGCAGCTTCGTGCATGAAGAGAGAAGACCAAAAACGGAGAGGCGAAATAAAAGACAAAAGTCGCAGCATTCAGTGTGATCAAAGCGGTCAAATTTGTCACCGTCTCCGGTTCAAGACCGTGGGTGGTCGTATTCGGAAACCAAGGTGCAATAAAAATGTGACAAAAATATAAACAGGTGCCCAACAATAAGATTCGCAAAATATAACCCTGCAGAAAGAGCCCAAAGTACTCCACATTCACCGTTCACCAGTGCAAAGTTCAAAATGCAAATACAAAACAAAAGCGAGTGTCCAATATAGCCTTCGAGACGCCCAAGATCGTCAAGATAATTGCCCCAAGGTATTCCAAAAACATAGCCATCCAAAAACTCCCAGACACAGACGTGCCCTATGACACCTTCCTGTATGAATCGCAGATCAAAGAAGCAAAAAGCAAAAAGCAAATGCCGCAGTCCTCCGTAGACGGTGTTGAAGATGAAAACTCCTGGACGCAATACAAAAGGGTAGGATAATACAGGAACTCATACTTTCGTTATATAATCAAGGGGACATTAAGGAGGGGGGGAAATGATGTCGGGACAACACTGGACAAGAAATGAGAAACAAAAAATGAGAGACAAAAAATAAAAAAAATCTGCAGCGCCAGGCGCAGGGTGTATGCAAGTTGCGCCGATGTGGATGTCTACTCCTGCATCGCATCTGCTGAAGCTGTGGTAAGGCCAGTCTGCGACATGCAATGTGCATGACCCCACATTGAAGTGTTGCAGGGATAAGGCACATCCAATGGCACAACGTGGACTTGGACAAGGCGTGGCTGGAGAGGAGAGTAATTGGCACAAAGAGGAAGAGGTCCAGGGTGTGAAAAAGAGGTGGAAAAAAAGTGAAGTGACTAAAGGAGAAGATAGGAACAAAGATATGCAAGAAGAAAGGGGTGTATCACGGAAAAGAAAATGATAAAAGAAAATAAGCAAAGTAAGAACGATGACCGGAGGCCTGGAGAGCGAAAGCGGCATCAACACGGCGCGACCGGACCAGTCGCAATCGCTCGGTGAGAATCCGCAGTTTCGTTGGCTGGGCTTGGGTGGGCTGGGTGAGTCACGGTGTGGCCGTCGAGCTCGCTTTACGGGTTGATTGGCCCAGGCCACTCAAGAGAGGTGCATGGTGGCATGCAGACATGTACCAAATCGAAGTACAGGTCTGCAGATGCAGTGAGAACGGGAGAGGTAAACTGAGGATGTGGCCAAATGGGTTGGTTCACACCCCAAGCTGCGACCTCAATGATGCGTAGAAAGCATAGGCGGAGTTGATGTTCGATGTGGACAAATGCAGAAAGGTTGAGTGCGACGACGTCAGAGGTGAGGATGGAGAGGATGTGGACGGAGAGCCATGACGTCCGGCCCATAGCTTGCGTCCCCTACTCTGACGGACACCGGTGGCAGTTCTTGCTACCTCCACAGTAATCGTGTGAGCCAAAATCAACCGCGCGGCAGCAATACGTGCAGCACTGGTTGACAAGGGCGACGATTTCCTTGCAGTCCATTGTGGAAGATGAAGTAGCTTTGACACACACAGAGAGAGAGAGAGAGTAATGCCTGGCAGGCAGAGTGGTAGTTGCAAAGGCGACGTATCAAAATGCTGATAAAATGAAGTGCTAAGGGAGGTAAGGGAGGTAAGCGATGGAGTTGACGGTTGACTGTTGTTACTGGCGATGGGTTTTTGTCAGAAGCTGCGAGATGTTTGTTTGAGCTGTTGAAGAGATGGAGGGAAGAGACCAGAGGCTAATCCAAGGAAGGAAGGGTTGAGGGTTTATATAGGAAAGAGCCGACGAGGAGGCTATGACGAAAATCGTCATGCAAATGCCCAGGACAATGATGTGAGAAAAACGTGGACGTGGCAGACGGGGCGTGGAGGGAAAGAGCGGCGAAGAGCAAGAAGGGACGGTACGACTGAGGTTGAGATACGATAACTGTGAGTGCCATAAGCCACAGCAAGCGCAGGAAACAGGGACAAGGCCGGACGCGGACAAGGCCCAGAAAAGTGCACAAAGGCAGTTGCCAAGCGTCGCTCCCAAAACGGGCAACCATGTCATTCTCTCCTTCCCTCTCTTTTTTTTGTCTCTGGGTTGGTCTTTCCGCGCGCACACAACTCATCGTTAGTGGTCGTTGTACTCTTGCTAGTGCCGGCCGTGACTTTATGCCCGGTCTGTTAGTAGCAACGACGCAAGAGTGAGAAGAGGGGACGCTGGAGGAAGGAGATACCGAGGGGGTGTGGTCACTTTCTCAGCAAGGCGGCGGTTTTTGGGGTGGCTAGTGGGCCGATATCCAACGTGGAGGTAATAACAATAGAGGGACCCCATTTAAATGGGAGCCTTTGAAAGTGTTACGATGCTGCAAATATGCAGGGGGGGAAGGTACAAAAATAGCAAAATATCAAGAGAGAACTGTTGGCTTCCATGTCGGTGTTCTGAGCTGTAAACATGTATATTGACGTGAAATAAAGGTGGGTTCGCATGCACAATGACCGCGTGCACAGAGTGAGATAAACATAAAACACGGGACCGAGGACAAAAGGAAGATACAAAGAACCGTCGAGAAGGTCAAAAAAGGCGTCTGCTAGGCAGGCATCAAACGTCCAGGGCTGAGCAGGGGCAGTTCATGTTTTGCTTGGTTTCTGCATCTCTGACGAGCGCGCCCCTCTTTGTGGTGTTCCTTTTTCTCATTCGCTCTTTCCTTGTCGTTGTTACTTGGCGGTGTAATACTACGAAAATAAAAGGGGGGTGTGAAATGCGGTCACGAGGATGGCTTGATGACTTCACATCTTGTCTCTCGTCGCCAAGCCAGCATGCCAGGAAAGAACGGATGAAACAGGAAACGGACAAGGGAACGGTGAGGTTGAGACGGGGAAAGAGGGAGGAGGGGCGGACGGGACGGGGGGAAGAACGACGCGCGGGCGCTGCGTCAAGCGAGAAGGAATAAGAGATGGAAAGCGCGGATGGCGGAGGACGAGGGGGAAGACGGAAAGACAAAGGATTGCCAAACACGGAAAGGGCCCTCCTGCACGTTGTTTCCATTTTAGTCGTGTAAGTCGTCGTCCCAGGCAGTCACGCACGTGGGATCCTGCAACAGAGGATGACGATGGCTCTTGGCCCTATCTGCTTCGTATGATGCAACAGGGCGCAACTCTCCTCGCGCTCTCCTCTCTTTCCTATCCCCATCCGTGTCCTCTGCTTTGCCGCTAGCGACACTGCAAGGACACCGCACGACGATGTGCGAAACACAAGTCACAAAACTCCCCCCTGCAACACATCATCGCCGTACATCGTCCGTTTTCGTTTGTTTACCGCCTTTGGCATTCTACAGGCTTACACTGCTCTGCCTCTGTCCCTTTGCCCTTTGTCTCCTCAGTCCAGCCACTATTCACTACAATACGGGCACGAATCGTCCGTCTCTCTCTATCGCTATCTCTCTCTTTCACTTTTTCGACACGCCTTGCTCCGGATTTTCCTCACGTTTGCCATCCTCTCGTAGTCTTCTCTGCCTATTCTCCCCACAGTCTGTTTACAGCATGCAGTCTATCAGTCTATACAGCACAAGTGTATGTCCGATGTACATTACGGAGCCCATGACTGCCTTGCAACCTGCACGCCCCCCCCCTCCCCCCTTCCCCCGAATCCTTCCCTCTTGTTTTTGTTCTAATTTGGCTGCAAGAGTCACTGGCTGTGTCTAGGCATAAAACAGTTACTGTAGTTTAAAGGTCGCTCACAGCACAAGTAGCCTTTGGGCCACATGCACGCTCGTTGGTATTTTTATCCCCACTGGTCGTAGTGGGAGCACCCGTCTGTCGGTACAATCTGCCAAGCAGTTGCGTCCGCAGCCATCCGCACGTTTACATTTGACTGTCTTTGGTTGAGACGTTTCTTGGTTGGTTTTGTAAGTTATCCGCATGCGCCTTGCTGCCTTGCGCCCTGAACGGCCATATCAAAGGGCAGTTATGAGGGACAGCCTCTTCGGAGAGTGTCGTCAGCCCTCTCCGTTGTAGACTGACATCGCGCATTGCTACGCGTGGCGAGGAGCAACGTCCGCCAGCACCATCCCCATCTTGCCTCTCTTTCATTCTCCTTTCTCTCTACTTGCTTTCGCTGCTCACTCACACTGCTCTCTTTTCTCCTGTTGCTTCCACATATAAGACGTACAAGACGGCATCGCCGGAAGGTCGTGTCACAATCACCCGCCCGGGTAGTCCTACCAAACGGTAGGGAAGGGAAGGGATAAAGTCATAATACTGCTGCGCACAGCACTTCATCTCGATCGCCTTTTCGTTGATTCGCTGGCCTAGTCTGTTGGTCATGCCAACCCGGCTGGCATTGCACCTTGCTGGCCCAAAGCAGGCCCTCGTCTTCCTTGAGCGGGTTGGCCATGGGGTTGGCTGCGCCTTTGCCTTCCGCAAATATCCGTCGTTGAGCTGTTCAATAGCACTGTCTATATGCTTCCAATCGTGTTGCGCCATCTATCTTTCTTTCTTTTAATTCTTTTAATTCTTTTTTTTTCTCGCTTCGCTGCAAGGCGCAGAGAGGGGAAAGTGGGAGACAGCGGAAAACAGGCAGGAGGGGTGTCTGACCCAGAGGGGCGGTGAGGGGGTGTACACGGAACGAACGAACGAGAGAAGGATTTCCAACGGGCGACTTGGATAACCAATCGTGTTATGTTGACGGGCATGGGAAGCCATAGGAACGCCACGAGATGTCCACGAGCTGCGGCTTGGGTGAAGAGTGTCGAATGCTGCGATTGTGCGAATGGAAAGAACGAACGGCACCATGGCCCAAGCCAGCCGCTCCTGCTAGTCAGGGACAACTCCACAGAGACAAAACGAGGCAAGAGCGTTGACGGGAGCGTTGACGGGAACAACCAGATAAGGAAGGAAAATGGGGGTGTGAGAGGCTGCCGTTTTCGCAACCGTCCAGTCGAGGAGAGGTAATGTGACCTGCTATGGACTAAGGAGCTCGAGAAACGAAAGGCAAGAGCAACCTTGGGGGCCACTTGCACCTGCTTGCCCGGTGGGCACAGCGGATGTGACAGTTTCTTACTTATTTCCCACCCTTGTCCCCTCCCTTTATTTACACAAATCAAAATCGAACGCGAGGCCCGAATGACCACATCCAAAAGTGACACGGGCGGATGAGGACAGGCGGACTGAACAAACGATGAACACAACGCTCACAGCATCGCCAACAGCACATCCGCAGCGGATCCGCAGAACCGCCGAAGGCGGGACACTCGTCTCGACGAAAGTACAGGCCACCCGTTTCGAGGACCTTTCTATTCTTACTTCTTTTCACCGTTGCTGTCTGTCGTTCATCTTCTCTTTTCCCCATCACGCCTGTACCCCATTCCACACCCCGTTTCATCTTGATTGATGCCCGGGTGATTCCGCCAAAGGTCGGAGCACAGAAAAAACCCGGGCATATTGTATCTGACAGGCCGGTGTTTATCCCAGTGGTCAATTTTGCTCACGAGGACAGACAGGCCAATGTGAATATATTTTCCCCTTGGTAGCCGATGCTGCCATAGGGTGTGATCATACGCGAAGGAATCCCATCCTCCTCATGTGTTTTGATTTTCTTTCCGTTTCATCTCTTGATTCTCCTCGTCCATGTCTCTGACTTCTCTATTCCTGACCATGTCCACTTCACCTTCCCTGCTTCTATTGCCCAGCGATCATAGTTGATCCGGACGGTGATTGGATTGCATCAAGTCATTGCATTTTGACAAGTATTGTCATCGAGATCGACCGAGTTGTCGACAAGCAAGCCGGCAACTTACGTTCCACGTTTGTCATTTTTAATCTGGACAGTACATGACCCGCCTCGACACGCCCTCTATTCTCTCGTACCACCTTCTCGTCTTTGTCACTTCCTACTGTTGGCTTGCTCTTACTTGGTCTTTTACCACCCCTTGCGCCTGTTTGCTGTTTGAGAAGGCGAGAGAAAAAAGGGAACACAGCAGCATCAAAGAGTGCAGAGCATCGGCGACATTTCGGTGGTCGTTGGGCATGGGCATCTCTTCTCGCATGTCGCGCCTCAAGTTTCCTCTCATGAGAACGGAGAGTCGTGCCGGCTCCTGCACACAAACGTAAGGCGCCGGCACATGAGGTGATGAAGGAGCTACTGGCAACACAAGGACACGAGACCGGGATCGAATGCAGAAGGTACAGACCGAGGCGGAGACGACGAAAATTGAGTGGCTCATCTTGAGAATGAGACTGCAGCCACGGCTTCCGAAGGCGCACATCGATCCAGTGCTCCTCGTCAGTTGGCCGAGAAAAAAAAAACCCTGTCCACCTTCACCGACATTGGCCGCGTACGCTCGTCGTTGCTCCTTTTTTGTACGCTTTCGGCGGCTTTCAGGTTTTTGTCCTGAATTCTGATTCTACGCTGCCATGTTGTGCGACCACCCTTTCCTGGCATGGAAAGTCGAAGAAGAAAGTGTCCAGGAGGTGTCATGCTGTTTTCGCAAAGCACACGTCACACATCACGCCAGGCGAAGAGTCCTCTCATTTGTGTAACAGAACCGCTGAAGAAGACTTTGGTCTTGGCCCTGTTGGGGTGGACAACCCTTGTCCTGCCCTTGGACCCTGGAATTCCGTTGCATTCGTTCCTTTATTTCCTCGTTTCTTCTTATTTCCTGTGTCTCCAGGGTGTCTCGGTGGCTTTGCGTGACCATGCCATACGCATGACGCACAATGCCCTGACGAGTCCGTGGCCAGGTGGGAGAGCGCCTTGCTGTGATATGGCATGTTGAGAATAGATCTCCTCCCATGCCTTTAGGCATTGAAACTCTCGTCTCGTCCTGCCACGTCGTCAGGCTCGTCGGATGAGAGGCATGAACAGACGGTATCGTGAGATGGCCCTCATCCGACATTGAGTCGTCACTGTTTTCTTGCTATTGCTGCGTTTGACGCGTTTATATCAGGTGGATATGGGCATATGCTATAGCAGGACCACGATGTGGCTTTTATATTGATTTATGCTTCTTTGATTCCAGCGGCCGAGATGTACTACTTCCATGAGGGCCAACGGCCATGGCACGGTCCAAGAGAGCTTTATGACGTCTAAAAGATGATAGAGTTTACTTGTCAGCTAGTACTATGCAGAAGATGGTCATAAAATAAAATAAAATCAAGGAGAAGATAATTGAGCTTACTTTCAGTCTCGCCTTGGCATACCTACCATACGAAAACTTACCTGGTGAAAACGTATAACAAAATTGCCAAGTTCTTTAGCAGCATTCTCACAACTACTTTGGTTAAAGGTGAAAAATAAGTATTACAAAAATATATACATGGATATATTTCTACGGTTTTAATTATATCACTATGAAAAACCGACGAAAGTACGCCAAGTCGTATCATCGGTGCATCACTCACGCGTTTTACTCGTTCTCAGCAATTGTAATCGCCTCACCTCGGCGACCGAAGCTGCAGTCTCAAACCCCACAATAGCTTTACATGCGTGTAGCCTCGAACGGTACTTTAACTTCTCTTCTCTTTGCTTTTTTTATCACTCGCATGGCAAAATTATCTCAAAGCACTGCATAGATTGCTTGTTCGCGGTGATATGCGAGACGGCCTGTTGAACTTTGAGACGGGACCAACGACTGCCGGGGATCATGTCCCGGTGGCGTCACCAGAGGCATGGCCACAGGGTTTGTGGCTTGTTCGCCTGGTTCCTCGGTGTATGTCGAAGCGAGGACGCCTTGCTCGCTCGGTAGCAGCTGTGCAAACGTGCGTACATTACGGAGTACAATTATGGAGCTCATCGTTGATCTTATATAGGCGCAGAGGCGCTATGCATATGCTGCTTTGGGAACAAGTACATCGCGGATCAAATCCGCACTTCCTAGTTTTCTTCGTCGACTGTCGTCAACGGAATGATTCTACCCGCTGGTCCCTGTCCTCGCATGAAATCATACCTCGCCCAGCTGGCAATGTTCTGGGAGCTGTTGTTTACTGTCCTCCTGTTAACGGTGTCAATCGTGTCTGGTCGTCGTTGACATGTGAAAGGGGCTCCATTTTTGCCACCCCTCTTAAACTGTCTACTACGTTAAAGCGTGCTTAATTAGATCGACGCATGTCAACTAAAAAAAAATGATTTGCGAGCTAGCTTTTCCGATAGCGTACAAACTTTGTGTTCTGGATCCTCATTCCGCGCCTTGGCAATACAATTTAGAGGATATCCGTCCGTGGTCAGTGAGCCTTTTCTCAGTCGCTGGTCAGTAAATTGTAGGTAACGTTATATTGGATAGAGGGTATGCGGGAGTACTCGTCCTCCGCCGGGACAATGCCCTCACTTCCCATTCGGCCGTGTCATGGCTGCCATTGGCGAGGGCAAACCAGTGTCCCATGGCCTTGTAGAATGTTTTCGTGTGTCAAACCAGTCCAGGTCGTTGCTCTGTAATTCGGCTCGCCACTTGCGACTCTGTTCAGCTCAGTGTGCCCTGATCTTGAGTTGTATTGTGTATCGGCCACTTTGTATGGGTTATCAAGTCGGCACCTTTCTCTACACTTTGCCGAGCATAATGTGTGCTTGTCACGGGCAGACAGCCGGCAACGAGGCTACGTTGGCCGATTTGCTAGTGCACATCGCCGGTATGCCGTACATAGAAGTGCATATACGTTCTTAGAACCTCGAGCGATATCATCCCTTTTTGGAGAAGCCAAAAATCATGTGCCAGGAGGACCCTTGTTCCCTTTTCACTTTCCGAGCGATGGTACCCTTCGGATCTGGCGTCGTACCGTACTCAACGTCCCATTTGATACTAGCACTCGTCTCCGAGGGACGGTGGACTCTGCACTGGCGTCGTATTCCTCATACATAAAAAGTGAATAGTAGCAAGTAACAGAAAACAACGACAAACTGGGATGGCATCGTGAAGATTGTAATAAAAATTTGAGGGATACTCCTAAATTGCAGAACGAAGGGAGGCAGTCACAAATGTCGTTCCCTTGTGGCTGACATTGGCGGCCAACACTCGATAATTAGCCGTCTGTGTAAGGGATGACCCCCACGATAGTCAAAGATGCCTCACGCTCACATGACATGACCGAGGAGGGCAGGACATACCGGAGAAAGCGCCGCCGTCGCCAAAGAGGACCCAAGAGACATCCAGGTCGGCCCTGGTTGGTAAAGATATGCGGAGCACTCACAAGTCGATGGGCATTCTCGAGGACAGTTCCAATGTAAGGCACATGTCTCAGCCAGGCGCCTTGTCTTGGATTGAGGGATCCGGAGAACCAGGAACCAGAGAACCAGAGAGATGGTTACACAGCATTCTTCTTTTCTACTTCCTTTTGGCCCAGGGATGCATGTCATTTCGGTTAGAATTTAGACACGACACCCAACCTATGCTCCGCACAGAGCAGAGGCATTAAACACCACAAAACGTTGGAAATGGAAGAAAGGGAATACACAAAACGGGCGTTCACGAAAGTGATACAATAGTAGTACACCACTTATGGTTGGGAGAAGAGGTGTGATAAAGAAGAGTACGACGCGGGTCCTGGAGCAGTGCGAAGAGTTGTATGGCAGCCGTGCAGAGACTGCAGCATGGAAACCGTTGCAGATCGCGGGTGTCGATGTATCGATGTACAAAGTCGCGATGTACTTATTGCGCCAGAGGGTTTTTAGTGGTGATGTCACTTAGCATGTGGAACACGACATACACAGTATGATCGTACCGAGTCGCATTGGGAAAGAGCAATGCACGAAGAGGTAACGGAACCACCACAGAGCGCGTAATTGCAGAGAGGACAAGGAAAGAACGTGATAGCGAGGTCCACGCCGTATTAAATGGCAAGACCGACCGACATGCCACGGCATGGCAAATTCCGGCCGCACCCTCTCCGAAAGTTGCCCCATTCTGCGCCCCTTTGTCCATGGTATTTCTTATCATTGCCATACTTTTGGCCTTCTGCAGGCCCTGCCTTGGCCTCGTCCTCGTTTACCATTTGTGCTCGGTTGCTAGCGGCGCTCTCTCGTCTCTCGTCTCTCGTCTCCTCTTGCCGCTTTGCGACTGACATGGTGGCGAGTCAAGGCCAGTGCAGGGGTTAGAGGCACTTTGTTTGAATCCGTAATCCACCTTGAGGGATAGCGTATTTTGACGGAGAATACTGCGAGCAAAGGGCAGGCACTCCAAGACGCACGGACCAGCGACGTTCACATGCCAGAACTAGACACAATCACACACCCACAGTAATGCCACGCAGCAATCCATGCAAAAGCTTCTGCCTCCATGCATGCCGCCCAATGAAGGCTCTGTGGAAAACATGTATCCTCGACATGTCGTCTCTGGATAGAGAGGTACCTGTGGTGAAGGCGTCCGCTCGTGCTGCGCAGAGATAAGAAACGAGTCCTCTCAGGAGTCCACAGAGAGCAGTCCGCAGTAAGCCTGACAATGGCAGGCATCCACTTTAAAGCTCAAATGGCAAAAGGATGGCAAATGGCAAAAACGATGGCAAAAATAGCAGAAGGAGGGTAACGCACATGCCAAAAAGTTGAGCAAACACAAACAACGCGACGCAGAAAAGAAGATGCAGACGCGCATCGTCTCACAACTGGAGAGGCAACTTTGGCGAGACACGTAATAGATGCAAGAAAAACAAGCAAGACACAAAACAAAATGGAACAACGTACATTCGTATGGCCAACAGCAACGCCGGCCTGCTTGGCTACATCGACAGCCCCAAAAAGCCTCTGATTGACTATTGCCACACACCTTCTCATGCCAGGGTGGGTGGTGTTGGAAGGAGCACGCAACATGGCGACTGTCTCGCCGTAATTGTAGGCAATACGTACCTGCCAGCTTTGACCGAACCTTCCTGTAGAAAACAAAAGCTTGCCGTCTGCTCTTTCCTTTTCGTACACCTCTTCTTTTCTCTTCTTTTCCCTTTTCTCCCTGCCTTTGGCTGCTCTTCTCTCTTTCCTCGCTTTTGCATTCTTCCCAAACATCAACACATCGCCTCGACAGCCACACAAGAAGGAATTCATTGTAAGATCCCACCCCCCTCTGACTCCATCTCCTCACACCCACGGTGTGGTAATCGCCCTTGCGCCTTCACCTGCATTCTTTGTCCCCCCTTTGTGTCTCAGCCGTCTCACTCAGGAACCTCCTGTCTACCCCGTTGTCTTTGGTTTTCTTTTCTTTTCTTTTTTTTTCGTTTCCTTTTTTCTCTTTTGGCTGGACTCTTTCTTACGCGCCCACGTTTCTAGGCCTCTTAATTGAGTCGTCCGCACTCAACCTCGACTTTCCCATCCTCGTCCCGTTTTATTCCAGCCGTCGTACACGAACAAACCATCCTTCAATTTGTTTGCAAACCAAACACCCCTACACATTCGCAATGGCTTCTCCTCAGGTCAACGGTGTCAGCCCGCAGTCGGCTTTCCTGGAGGTGAGTTTTCCAATCGTCGCAGCTGCCCGTGTCCGTCATCGCGCCTCACCACTAACAACCATACAAGCACCTCCTCCAGTACCCGCTCGTCTCCGACAGCGTCTCCACCGTCAAGGAGAACAAGTATGGCCAGCAGACGCTTGCCCTCAGCACCTCCGCCTACGAGACGCTCGCCAAGCCCGTCCTCCCGTACCTGTCCAAGCCCTACGGCTACGTCTCGCCCTACGTCAAGAAGGCCGACTCTCTCGGCGACCGCACCCTCGACTCGCTTGACCAGCGCTTCCCCGTTGTCCGCAAGGCCACCGCTGAGGTCTACCAGGAGACCAAGGACTTTGTCTGGTACCCTGTCCGCAAGGCCACCGAAGGCCGCGACCATGTCTTCAGCGTCTACTCGGGCGAGCGCAAGCAGGTCGGCGGCGACGGCGTGCTGCCGGCTGGCAAGGCGGTCGCCCTGACGGCAATCACCGTCACGTCCGAGACGCTGGCCTGGGTGCGCACCTACCTTTCGGCGGCCAAGAAGCAGGCAGATGCAAGCATTAGCGAGAAGACGCCTAACGGCACTAACTAAAAGAGAGAAATACTGTCTTTTAGTTGCCGTTTCTGCACGATAAGGACGAATAAGTGGGGTGCGCTATTGGCGCAAGTCACAGGAGTGCAGTTTCACACCCGTTTGTCGGCTGGTCGCTTCTGCTCTCCTTGGCTATGCACCTAGTTGGCAGGCATTCTTTCTGCTGAGATGACTTTTTATTCGCCACACCTTGCTCACCTTGCCCTGTTCCCTCTCTCACCTGCGCGGGACTGCCTCCTCACGCCCCCTTTGGGCTTGTGCTCGAGATGATTGCTTTTCTCTCTTATGCTACGTTCACCCACAGATAAAACGACTTTTACTTGATTCCCACTCTTACTTTCGCCTTTCTCTTCTCTTTCTTTCCCTTTCTTATCCATATCTCATATCTTGTTCTTTTTTCATGTTTCTTGTTTTCGTTTTCTCCAGGCTAGACTAGGGACGTTTTAGAAACATATGGTTACCGGAACCAAAGTACTGCGAAAATTAATGGTTTTCATAATACTGGATACTTTATGAGTTTATGAACTCCTAAGCACCGCCAGGGATGTGAGGAACTGGCAGATGCAGCGATAAATTGACCGACGAGCAATGATAGCCAACTTCCCCGCGTCTCGTTTGCAATTGTGAGTAATATATCGATAGGGCGTGGACTATCAAAAGTAGGTTGTACAATGTACAACGGAGAGACCGGTATGGAAATGATGAGAAAAGCCGGGCGCCTCTCGCCACAAGATAACGGTCGTTTTCCGGAACAACCGTTGAAACACAGAAAGAGGGGAACGTTGAAAAATAATGTAAGACATGGCGCAAAACGCATCTCCCCTCTACATTAAACCAAAGTACCGTCAACATGGTGTATTCTCGCCCGTTGTAATTGTTTTGATGGTCCAGGCCACCTTTGTCACCCACCATTACGAGAGTGGGTGTGGGCAAGCAGGCATGTTTAATGGTGAAGCTCTACCTCGTTCTTATCAATGGTCGCCTCATTGGGCGAGCCCGACTTACAACGCAGTGGAGCGACTCGAGTGGATGACGAGCGATTGTGTCATTGGTGGAGACTGTGGAGCTGTCTCTCCGACTGCATGAGAAATGAAGCATCGTGATATGTCACGTGAATATTCTAGAATCAGCCACAGAGCCAAGCCACAGTCAGCTTTTCGTCAGAATGAGCTAAACATCTAAAACAGGTTAGATCGCCTCCACTCTCTTATACGTCCGTTGCCTGACAAACGGTTACATCAGCGTTGTCCACACTCTCCAGCTTTGTCATGGCTGAATCACTGTCCATTGGCGGGGCTTTTTGCTTTGCATTTTGTCGCTCTAGGACATAATTTAGGCAGTTTGGCACAGCACTCTCGCTGTCAGCAGTTGGTGACCATGACGAATCCTTAGGCGAGCAGCTGTGAGCTTGCTGGAAGAGAGCGACCAACGGGCGCTGGGAAGATTCGCGATCATTCCCATATTTCAATTAGCATCGGCACCCGGACACCGGACGACAAAAGCTTCTCCTGTGTTCTTTCTCGTCATTCCATACTTCTGTCACTTCCTCAAGCGCTCCCTCCCTCATCTATAAAAACGATCGCCACGATCCACCTTGGTCCGATGAAGCTTCTTTCGATTCTGCTCTCCATCCTCACAGGCATCTTCTCGATCTTCTTGTTCAGAAGCAACTTTCCAGACACTTTCAACACAACTCTCAACCACATTCATAGCTTGGTCCAATCGCTCGTGAACAACAGCACCAGCAACATCAGCAACACCAGCAACACGACCACCTCCACCCACAACATCACTTCTTTCTACAACACCGCCGACACTCCCCTTCCCTCCACAATGACTTTCCCGCGTCACATCCGCAAGGTCTTCGTCGCTCTCGAGCAGGCAGAGGGTGCCGGTGCCCGCGTCCGCCGGTCCATTGGCACGCCGGCGCTCCGCAACTTCTCGCCCTTCCTGATGCTTGACCACTTCTCGATCAAGCCCGGCGCAGGCTTCCCCGACCACCCGCACCGCGGCCAGGAGACCATTACCTACCTGCTGAACGGCGGCGTCGACCACGAGGACTTTGCCGGCAACAAGGGCACCATCAACTCGGGCGACCTGCAGTTCATGACCGCCGGCAGGGGCATCATGCACGCCGAGATGCCGCGGCAGAACCCGGACGGATCGGCCAACGTCGGCCTGCAGCTCTGGGTCGACCTGCCCCAGAACCTCAAGAACTGCGAGCCGCGGTACCGCGACTTGCGGGCCGCCGAGATCCCCACCGTGGACGTCGACGACAACAAGGTGCACATCAAGGTGATCTCGGGCGAGAGCCACGGCATCAACAGCGTCAAGGACCTGGCGTACACGCCCGTATGGATCCTGGACCTGACCGTCCAGCCGGGCGGCAAGGTCGCGCAGCCGCTGCCGGCCAACTGGAACGCCTTTGCCTACATCCTCGAGGGCAGCGCCACCATCTCCAACGGCGAGGAGGCGCCCACCAAGGTCGAGCAGTACAGCAACGTGGTGTTTGGCCCCGAGGGCGACGGCGTCACCGTGAGCGTGGACGCGTCGGCCACAGAGCCCGCGCGGCTGGTGCTCGTGGCCGGCACGCCGCTGGACCAGCCCATTGTGCAGTACGGCCCCTTTGTGGTCAACTCCAAGGAGGAGGTCTACAAGGCGCTGATGGACTACCAGACGCACACCAACGGCTTTGAGCGGGCCGAGGGCTGGCAGAGCGAGATTGGCAAGTCCATGGCGCACTGAACAACGGCGCGACAGCGACTGTGGCGCCAGGTCCGGTTGCCCACGTCTCCGATCGTGGCCGCCGCCGTCTTGACTGCGGCCATCTATGGCCTTGTTCACGTTTTGTTTTCTGTTTTGGCATCGCGTCCTTTCTTTTCGTCTTAAGACGGCAAACAATGATGGCATTTTCGTTATGTATTTTTTTCTCTCTCACGATCGTTATGTATACTACCAAAAACTGGCGCTTCGATTTTCAGGATATGCGGCTCTTTTGGGTACTTTTTACGTTTCTTGATTTTCTGGAGATACTTTTGTATCTAGTTAGTTGACTACCAAATGCAAATATATCTTGGTAAACTCATTGTTCCAATGTTCATAATTTCCGTAGATCTAAGCTTCGTAATGCACAACTCGTACCGTGAGCAAATCAAATGAATTCGACGTCACGCTCCAAGCAAAGCATATTGTTGGCGACAGCGAGATCGAGACCGAGCTTTGCATTGCCTCTTTTTATTCTGGTGCCTAACACGCTGGGGCGCTAGCAAGTACAACTCCACAATGATTTGGTAGAGGGGTACATTATCAGCTCTGGCCTCCAAAACGGTCTCAAACACAGCCCCTTTCTCCCCTAAAAGAAGACATAAAGAAACGCGGCAATAGCACAGCGCTAGTGTGTAAGTCCCAGCCTCCACTTGTGGCAGTAGATGGAGTGACGTTGAACAGGACGCGTTGGCCATGCAAGGCACCGGGATAAAAGAAGTTGACAAACGAAACAGACGATCCATGATGAAAGATAAATGAAGGCGGTGCCCGGCCGTTTGACGGAGTATAATTTGAAAAAAAGGGAAGGAAAAAACAACAACAAAATATACAGAGCATTAACACCTCCACTACAATCTTTCAGATATTTTCATATTCAGCTCGCCTATAGCAACCGCATTTTCGGTTTATTTCACAATTCCCTGTCATCATGACCAAAGTCGAAATCACCGGCGAGCCGGCCGACCCCGAGTCGTATTACACACAGTACGCACAGCAGTACCAGACCGAGCCTCAGCGGCAGCAGAAAAGCACTTCTGTTCCGTACTATGATCCCCAAGTCAACGACAACAGCCATGGCGGCGACAACAAGAGCACCTCCGGCAGCACCTTGAAAATGACCAACGCCGCATACTATCGCTCCGGCCTCGCCAGCCGGCTAGCCGCCATCGGTGCCCGCGCCGCCTCGCCCATCAACATGCTTGCAAACCGAGTGGGCTCTGAAGGTTTCTTGCCGGAGACCATGTACAAGGAGTGCGAGAAAGCAGCGCGCATTCTGCAGGGATTTTCTGACCAGCTGACCCTGACCCGCATGTCGTCAGCCTCGTCGTCGGCATCCGCTCACTCCAAGAATGGAGAGAAGGAGCAGATCGTACCGCGCCGCTCCCTCATCCACATCCCCCCTTCGGTCCTTCAGCGTGCCGTTGGCCTTGCCGTCTTTACCACTGGCCGCATCGGCATGCACGTCTCCGGTGCCACTGGCTCGGGTGTCCTGATCGCCCGCCGGCCCGACGGCAGCTGGTCCCCGCCATCGGGCATCCAGGTCCACGCTGTGGGCGCCGGCTTTATCTTCGGCGCCGACATTTACGACTGTGTGCTCGTGCTCAACACGCAGGAGGCCCTCGACGCGTTTTGCGGAAACACGCGGCTGTCGCTGGGGTCGAGTCTGGGCGTGACAGCGGGGCCATACGGTGTCGGCGGTGGCTTCAATGTGGCGACGACGCCCTGCCCGCCCAAAACAGGCGCTGCTGTCGACGGTGGCCCGTCCGCGTCTGGTGCCTCTAGTTCCAACGGGGCCAAGAACACCGTCCGCCAAACCATGGACCGCGCCGCCTTCTCGTACATCAAGTCCCGCGGCATCTACGCCGGCATCAAGGTCGACGGCACCGTCGTGACGTCGCGGCAATCGGCCAATGCGTCCTTTTACGGCGCACCCGTGACCGTGCGCCAGATCTTGCGCGGGGACGTTCCTGCTGGCCAGTGGCAGGCTGCGGCTCAGGTTCTGCTGGACGCTGTGCGGGTGGCCGAAATGCACGCCCGGCCGCAGCAGCCGCAGCCCTATTACCCCCAACAGTACCCGCAGCAGCCTGGCCAAGCGTACCCTCAACAGTGGTATGCCCCAGGGCCGTCGGCGTCGTGGGCCGCACCGCCTGCCCAGCCGCCTACCGTGCCGTCGCCAACTGCCCAGCCGAGCAAGGCCGCTGCTACTCCAGTTGTGTCGCCTAATACAACGGCAACACCGGCAACACCAGTGGCACCGGATGCCCGTACCAAAGAGCAGGAGGCAGCCGATGAAGCGGCGGCGTCTGCGGGCGTTCCGCCACCGACATACTCTACGGTCGACGAGCCGTCAGCGCGGAACAACGTGTCGCCCGTGGTCGCCGATGAGGATGTGCCGCCTGCATATGCTGACCAAGGCCAGGTGCATCCTGGTACTAGTGACTCCAAGGGGGAGCATTAGTGTAACGCAAGGAGGCTCGTGGTCGAGTGTGGATCGAGTGTGACTGGGCATAGCTGGCGTTCCTGGGACCTGTCGTTTTGTTAGTGTTTTGGTTTTCATAGTGACGCATTGTATTGATACACCTGATTGAAATAGACTGCGATAATCTGATTTGGAAAGAGAGCAGAAGTGATGTGATACAACATGTTGTAAAAGTCGCGCCTTCCGTAGACAATTCTTCGCCCACCTTGTCACAAACAAGGAAAGTCCGTCGTGAGGCAAGTGCGTATCCACTCAGGAGCTCCTTCTCTTTTGCGGCAAAACAATCCCCCTGTTGCTGTAACTTCCCCAACAAAGCCCCTGAGTGTTTACCCTCTTAAATTGGGACCTTTAAACAAAACATCATCGAAAACATGGCGATCACGACCACCAATCACTTCGTGCGCCTCGTGTTCCCTAAAAATATGGGGCATTGTCCGTCAGCCCTGTGAGGCACATTGCCGAGTGGGGCCACCCACACAGCCCACGGCACACCGGACATATCGGCGGAATTTGCACTCAAGGTCGGGGAACGCTTCTAAGTCGGTAGCTTTGCGTTGATAAAGGTTCCTGCATATGAAACATCACGGCTTAATCTCTTTCCTATTTACGCGCCGGCCTACCATGGCGGACAGTGTTGCTCTCTTCCCAGATTGAGTGCGTCTCGCGACATAACAAGCACATGCCGCCACGCACAAAGCGACCTTCACGGGCAACAGCCCACGGAGAGGGAGAGGTGATTCGGGCGAGGCCTGCAAGGACGGAAGCAAGAATGGCGACAGTGACCATAAATACGGCATCGAAGCGTGTACAGGCCCATGCTGCGGGCCGGAAACCAAGCGCGGCTACAGCAGTCGGGCGGGGGCCTATTTCGACGAACACCCCCAACAGCACGAGCACAAGTCTACCGCTACCCTCCGACGACAGCTCTTATTCTGACACGCCAGCCGCCTCGCCCGTCAAGCGCCGCAAGCTGCGCAAAGGCACCTTTAGCTGCATCGAGTGCAAGCGGCGCAAGGTCCGGTGTCGGTTTGCTGAGAGTGTGGCTGCAGCTCCCGGCAGCGGTGGTGGCCGCCCTTCTCATGCTGGCCACTGCCTCTCATGCCAGCGACACGGTACGGCGTGTGTCAGCCAAGAGTATGCTGCTCCCTCGCCGTCGCCACGCCGCTCACCCGACCCACTCCAGCAGCGGCAGTACAACGATGTCGGCAAGCGTATCGCCCAGGTCGAGGCTTTGGTCGGCGAGCTGGTCCGGCGGCGTGTCAATGCAGGCCACGCCACCAGCGACAGCGTTCTAGGAGATGACGACGCCGCGGATGAGCCTGCGCGCAGTCCCTCTGATCCCACGGCCGATCTGCTGGACCAGGAGCTTGAGTCGGTCCTCCAGCAGGACGCCAGCTGCTTCTCGTTCTGGTTGCACGACCGCTTCATATCGGCTCAATCGCCACACTTCCGTGCGCGGTCTACATTGAGGTCGCAGTCTCTCTCGCCCTTGCCGGCGACAGCCTCGCCACACCTACGCCAGCCTCCCGGTTACCTCGACCCGAATACTGACACCGACCTCACTACCGATTTCCCTGCCGGCAGAGCCCCACCTGTCGACGTCCACTCCAAAAGGCAACTGCGCATCCAGCTCCAACAACTCGAGCAGGAACTCTTTTCCAACCGTTTGCTGTTCCCCACGGGCCCGAGTATTTACACGGGGCCTCTCGAACACCAAACGCTCAGCAAGCACCTACAATCCATACTGCCGACCGCCAACGATGCCCTGCGCATCCTGGACGAAGGTGCCTTGTTTACGTTGCGCCGCTATCGCGCGTTTCTCGCCGCAGACGCCGAGGCCGGCCGTGACATTCACCCCCTTGAGAAACGCGGTACGGGCCACCCTGTACTGCTAGCCCGCGAGCTCATTCAGCTCGCTGTCTGCCTACAATTGATGCACAAGGACAGCAAGCTCAGCGATTATGGTATGTCCGGCAGTGTGACGCCCTGGGAGACTGCCGACCGCTACTTTGAAGTCGCTTCAAGTCTCGTTACCTCGCACGACGCCATGGTCTCGTCCCAAGAGGGGCTCGAAAGTCTGCTGCTGCATGCCTTTTTCGTGGTGAACAAGGGCGATCTTCGGGCTGGGTGGATGACGCTGCGCCGCGCCCTCAGCATTGCCACAATCATTGGCCTCCCTCCACGGTCCTGGCACGACCAGCCACTCTCTCTCCACTTTGTCTGGACCCGTTTGCTGTTCTCTGAACGCTTCTTGTCCCTCATGCTCGGCCTGCCGTCGTTCAACATCGAAGACCACCACCCCTCGTCCCTTGCGCGGCACGCCGCGACAAGGAAATTGTTGACCTCCCGCGACTGGACCAACAACGTCGAGTACGTGGCCCTAGACCTCGAGAGATTGAACGCTCTCCTCATCCCGCGAATCACCGCCCGCAACAAACGCCTCAACCAGCTCGCCAACGCGCACTATATCTATTCTCGCACTGACTATGCGCGTCATATAACGATACTGAACAACGACTACCGCGACACGCGCGACATAGACTATACCTTCTGCCAGGCCGCTCAGAGCCTGCCCACGAAATGGTGGGCCATTCCCGACATCCTGGGAGGCAACAGAATTGACGGTGGCCGTATGGAGAAGACTGAGCAAATTGAGGAATCGATGCGCCTCATGGGCCAGGCAAAACACTATCACTTGTTGGTGTTGCTGCACCTCCCGTACCTTACGGACCGGCGACCAGGCATCATGCCGGCGAAAGCGCCGCCTCCGTTGTTGGACACAGTTCTGCCGGACGGGGCTTCATATGCGGGTGCGCAGGGGCCGAAGGACGAGACGATTAACGTCAATTTACGAGAGTACGGCATGGCGGCCGGCACGGAAGCAGCATCACGGCCAGTGACCGACGACATTGTCTTTGCAGAAGACACTAGCCGCAGCCAGAGACAGTACCCCTCACTGCCATCACCACCATCCAACTGGTCCTCCATACCGGCCGCCACAGCGCAGTGGACCAGCGAGCATATCAACACCACAACCACATCCATCCTGCTCACACCACCGGATACTACCTTTAGTCGCCTCGGTGCCTTGGGTGCCGCCCGTGAAGTCCTGTCACGTTTCATGGTCTTTCGGAAATTCACTAGCGCCAATCCCGGCTGCCACGCCTTTGACTTTGAAGGCTTTGTCGCAGCCGTGGCCATTCTGCTCGCCCATCTGGACGCTCACGTCCGCGGCGGCGATAATGTCATCCACTACCAGCGACCCTCGGATATGAATACCGTCGACAAAGCCATGGCTCTCATGGATCGGCTGCAGGACATTGCACAGGAGCCTGTCAATGGGCCAAGGTTGGCCATACTGCGGCGACTGATGGCCATTGAAAACGACGCCGCGGCGGGCGGAAAGTATGAGGTCTGGACCGAAGACGGGACACTGGGCCGTGGCGACGGGCGGCTGACGGCGGACCCGGACAGTGCGGTGCAAACCATGTCCGTGCCGTACTATGGAACCATCCACATCTGGCGTTTGGTCGGGTCTAGCTAAGACAGGACAAATGGTATCATCACTCGCGGTGCCAATGAAGTGTTTTCTCACTAGGGCAAATGAAGAGGCTAACTGTGCTGCCTACATGTTTTGATTTGATTATTACTTTGGGACATATTTTGGAATATTTTGGACTTTACAAGGGCTTTGGACTTTGGATACTGGATCACATATTGGTAGATAGAATGCATACGGCCATTTTTGATACTGACTTTCTTAGGTCTCCGGGGGTATCATCATCGTACAAAGGTGTGCTAACAACAAAAAGAAACACAGCGAAGGAAAGATAAAAGAGAAAACAAAGAGGACAAAAAAGACAACATGAGAAACGACAAAAGGATAAAAGTAGACAGCGGACCACTTCGTCGCATCACCGGCGCACCGCTACGTCTCGAACGCCGCATTACTCTTCCGCCCACCACCCCGCAGCAGCAGCGCATACTCGGACCGTTTGCGGATAATGAATGCCAGACTCAGCATATAGTCCGTGTGGTACTGCCCGCCGTCCAACTGCATCAGCGGCCGCAGCACACGGCCTGCCAGCCGCTCTGCCGTCATGTCGTTGCGGTCGGCCGCGTCGGCAATGTCGCCCCAGAGATTGAGGAGCAGCTTCAAGAGACTGCGTGCCGGTCCCCGTACACCGCCCAGTGCCTCTTCCCAAAAGTCAATGCACTGGTCCAACCGCTTAGAGTACGAACCGGTGATGGTGGCCTGACGCGACAGCGTCACCCAGCGGCGCGCAACGGAGTCCGAGACGAGCGGCCGGGGCAGCGCCTCCAAGTATTGCAGGATCACGGCCGCCGCGTCGTGGCGGCTGTACTCGGCGGCCATGGAGGCATCGTCGAGGTCCACGCCGTAGAGCGGCCCCGTCGAAAAGCGCTCCCGCAGCGCCCGCACGCGGTCAAAGCTTACCACGTCAAAGGAATCGACATCGACGCCGGGCACGCCCCCACCGAAAATATCGGGCGTCTCCAGGCCGCCGTCCGACCGGATGAACGTGTAGCACCGGAACACGGACAAGGGGAACTCGCGCCGCGACGCCCCGTGGCCGCCCGAGTGGTGCGTGCGCGCCGATGCACCGGCCATGTGGATGCTCTTGCGGAGGGAGACGCCAAAGACGGCATCGGGCTCGTCGTCCAATTCGGCGCCGCGCTTTCTGTCTTTCTTGGCAGGGGACGTCGCTGGGGCAGCACCGCCTCCCTCAATGACAGTCGTCACGGCCCAGGGCGCACGGAACGAGGCGGAGAAGCGGCGGCTGGTTCGGCGCTCGATGCCGTTGCTGTTGCCGTTGCCATTGCCGTTGCCGTTGCCACCACCACTGCTGCTCCCGCTCTGCCCACTGCTGCTGTTGCTGTTGCTGCTGACAATATTGGTGAGCGGCGTGGGGGCGATGGACAGGCTCGACAGGTCGACAGCGCCTGTCGCCGTTGACGGCCGCTTGTTTATCTCGGCCGTCGTGGTCGCCGAGGTGCTGCGGATGTGCCGCAGGAAGCGTCCAAAGCGGTTGTTGGAGGTCGAGGGCGGGTAGGCCGTCGTGGAGGAGGAAGTGGTCGTGGTTATGGCCGCAAAATTGCCGTTGCTGACGCTGTGGTTGAGTTGTGTTGGCGCAGCGGCCAAGTACCTGCCGCCGTTGGCGCCACCAAGATGGTCAGCCTCACCAGGCCGGAAGCTCATGGCACTGCTCCCTCTGGCCTCAGCTTTGGGTGGCGGCGTGGGCGGCCGACTGGGCAGCTCGTCGCGGAGCTCGTCCATCAGGTTGTCAATCTCGTTGGGCGGCAGCAACGCCGGGCCGCGGGCAGTGTCGCGTGGTGGCGGCGTTGGCGGTGGCGGCATGGACGGCGAGGACGGTCTCGACTGACGGGACGGAGATGGTTGCCGGGAGCTGTACACAGACGAGCCGACCCTGGGCGCATCGACGCCAAGGGTGCGGGGAATGGGCAGACTGCTGCTGCTTTGGCCCTTGTCGGCCGCCTCGTCGTCGAGTATCCCCACGGCACTGTCGGGGGCTTTGCCAACGGGCGAGGCGACGGCTTCGTCGCGGGATTGGAGGGATGGCGGATCGAGGTGCAGGTCGACGCTGTCGTGGTCGCGGAGGTCAAGGTCAGCAGCAGGAGCATCGTTGAGAATGGTGTTGTCCTCGCGTTCGCGCTCGGGTTCTGTTTTTGGTTCTAGCTCCAGTTTCTGTTCCGGTTCAGGGGCTCGTTTCGCCTCTTCTTCGGCCGAGGTGGTATGCCGCCGCAAGACATTGAGGTAGTTGAGTAGGATGAAGGTGGCATCGACGTCGTTCAGATCGCTGCGCACGCGCGTGCGCAGGTGGCTTATCTCGGCCTGTAGTCGGGCCATGTCCTTGGCGGTGGCGTCGGGAACATTGGAAACATTGGAGGTGTCGGCTGTGTCCGAGTCTGCGGTGTGTGTCTTTTGTGTTCTGCAGAGGTCAGTACTGTTACAAAGTTAAAAGGGGTGGCCATTCCATCAAGGGCAGACTAACAATGCCACCAGATCCAGAGCCAGCCCGAGGGCAAGGCGGTACACTTCTAGGATGGTGCGGGACTCCGCAATGTGCGGGCGCAGGGCCAGCCAGCGCGCTCGTTTCTCCTGAGGTGAGACGGACGACGACGGCATGGGATCGTCGTCGCTATCGCCGCTGCCACTGCCGCCGTCGGAAAAAATGGCATCCAAGTCTGCCACGACCGCGCCACTGCCGGCGACGACAGCTGGCGTCTGCAGGGCCAGGTCGGCCGGAAAGCTCACGGAGGCGGCATCGTCTTTGAGCAGGTCGAGCACACCGTCCAGGGCATGCAGCTCGGCGGACAACGGGGCGAGATCGGCACGGGACTCGCGGACGTCGCGCACGAAGCGGTGGAGATCGCTGGCGGTTTTGGCGAGGGCGTTGCTGACGGCGAAGCAGCCGGTCGTGGTGGATCTGTTCGGTGTGAGCGAGAGCGAGCGAAGCGCGGGATTGTGATGCACCGAGCAACTACTTACATCCAGTCCATGATGATTGGTACTGATCGGCGAGAAGCGATCGCAGACGCAGTTATCCCAGGAGCGGGCTATCTTTGACCGTTGACGGGAACTGGGACAGCTGAAATATTTGAGGCGTATTTTGGGTCTCTTTCCTGTACGTCGATGGCTCCTCCTCTCGTCTCACTCCGCTCGCTAAGTTTTCTGTTGACGGGTTCACTGTCGCTTCACTGGTTCACGGCCCGGCAAGCTGCATCCATGTGCCACTTTATCTTTCGTTTTCTGGACCATACAAACAGGGGTCAGGCAACTTGTGTTGCGGTGTCGGTGTTGCAGCCGTTTCCTTCTGTCTAGCGCGTGGGTGTTAAGTTACTGGAGCCCTTGTCGTTCCGAAAGGAAGCGGTTTAAGTTGAGCGAGCTGGCTTTCCGTCTTTGTCGTTCTGTTCCACATTCATTGCGACATGGGACATGGACATGCTCAGGGACTGAAGAAGAGAGGGCTGCAAGGAGCTGAAAAGCGAGGATAGCGACCAAAAAAATGCAGGGGAGGATGAGAGAAAAGGGAAAGGTGAATGACCAGAATCAACGACAAACCGGGTGGAGGATTTGGCGTTCAAGGTGAGCTTCCTCCTCCTTCGTTTTGATTTTCCGTTCCTTCTTTCTGATCCCACGAGTTTGTTATACAGAGCATGCGTGGAAGAGGAAAGAGTTCGGAGTACTTTTGATGCGACTAGGGCCTTTGAAGCGGAAAAGGTGTGAGACGGCGGCGTTGCGACTGGTTTACAAGAGAGTGGAAAACAGGATAAAGAAGAAGGGGGGAAAATGCGGAGAAAGGTCGACCACCGCCGCGAGCGACGCACGAGCAACAATCGAGCGCCACCAAAAGCTACACAAACGAGTGATAAACCGGCCAACAGCTGTGGAGCAGGTATCGAAACGATTGAGCAAGGACCGCGGGGGAGGAGTGGAACATCGTCGAAAATCACCTTTATTTTTAGTTTCGTTGCCCATTGCGAGCCTGGAGCCAGCCTTCCCAGTACTCCATCTGAGTGCAAAAAGATCGTCGGGCAGCTCGTGGGGAGACATCCCCTTGGCTTTCCCTACTTATTTTCGTGAGTAAAAATACCTGCCAGCTGATGTTTGACGAGAGGATTAACGGCCGGGGGTCTTATTGGTCCAAAAATGCATATCACGGTTGGACACCAATTTTCTGTTTGTTGGAAAGCTATCCAATATTCAAGAATATTGGCACACTACGATGCACCGTATGTGTGCTAACTACGGGTTTCAGCTGGTTCTCTGTGCCACTGGTAAGTGCGCGCAAAGGGTTCGTCAACAGTGATACAGCGAGTGTGGGAAGAGAGTGGCAATACTCGGCGTGTATATACCAGCTGGGCAAGAGAGCAGAGGGAACGGACGCCATGGACGAGTGACATTTGGCAGAATCTGTCACGCATCAATGACCAGATTTGACAACTTAACCACAGGCCAAACTAAGAGACGAGAAAAGGCTTTGCTTGGATTGAAATCCTGCAAGGGCCTGCCTTACAAAAAGAACGCTCGGACGCAGACAAAGGCCTCGGACAACAAACTACAGAGGAGGTGGCTATGCCCCCGTGGGAAGTCAAGCGCCTGCACTAACAAACGTGCCCAAGCTATAGCTGCAGGATTTGGGCTGTTGACGACAGGCTCTCGAAATGCGACCTTGGAAAGACGACAAAACGACGAAAACGACACAAGAGCTGATAACGACGGTAACGATGGGCCTGAGCATCGTCCATGCCGTGGGAGCAACCACACTCGTGAGCTCTGTGCGTTTCAACGTGACTGGTTTTTTGGTCGATGGCCAGGTCTCGACTGATGCACCTGAATCGCCTGTTTCTGATCCTCTTCTCCGCATGATGGTCTTGGACACAACTCGTAGCGCCCCTTCTCTCTTCCGAGGAGAGTAAAGATCGCTTGGCGCCGTCGCGTACTATTCCCCCGTAGTGGGCTGGCGGAACGGTGGGATGGCGACAATTTCAACCAAACTGAACTCACCTCGGTCAGATTCGAGGAAGGCTCATTCAAATCCCAAAAACGCAACATTAGATTACCAACTACACAAACTGCTTCCTGCTCGTTTCAGGGCATCCAAAACAGCAAGATCTGTCAGACGGGTAAGGCAGTATGGAAACCCGACAAGGGACAAGGCTCTGAGAAACAATACGACGGCGAGCAAAGCAGCGCAGGCGTGGACAGCACCGTTACGTTTTGTGCTATTTTTTTTTTATTCTTGTTTCTAATTTGTGATGAAACATTTAAGTAAGATTGGAGGTGAGGTGCAGGGGCCGTCACCTCTTCTTACTCACTATATTACACTAGCGCGACGCACGCATGTAAGCTGAGCATAACATGCACCGTACACAGCGTGAGCTCATGACCAGCACCCAACACGCCCGCATATGGCGGTGATGGACCGTCGTTTCTCGGCGGATGTTCTTGCCGTTATTATGGGCCGGCTACTCCCGCCGCACCTTCCCTCCGTCTGCTCGGAAATAGCCGTCATTGCCGCCGGGCCGGATGCAGTACAAACCGGAGCATACAGAAAGCCAAAGGAACATCATTTGCGTGTAACTCAACCCCAGCAACACATCGCTCCCTACAGCTCATCATGTGTTGCACGTCGTTCACCCGGTGTCCATGGCGGAATCGCACCCTGGATAATGTCTAACAAGAAGCGCTCGACAACCGCTGCAGACGGCAGCCCGCCGCCGCCGCTGCTGCTGCCCGTCGGTGGGAAAGGAAACACATCGCCGTTGCTCGGGTTCTGCACAGCTAGAAGTGGTCCTGACTTGTGGACGACGCTCGCCTGCAAACCGAGGGCTGTGACCATCTCGTCCCCATACTCGCTGAGGTCGACTGTCGTAAACGTCAAGTACTCGCTGTACGTCTTTGCCAGCGACTGAATGGTTTTTGTGTACTCACGTCGTTCGTGCACGGAGGCGTACAGGTAGTGCACCAGGCTCTTGCCCTGCCCCAAGTAGTGCAGCTCGTTGCGGCGGGTGAGGTCGACGACGAGGGGCGCTGTGCAGAGTTCCAGAAAGGCGTCGAGCGCGGTTGTCGATGCGGCGAGGTCAGCGGCCATTTTGGTAATCTCGCCGTGGGAGCGGTAGCAAGTCAATGACGATGACGACGATGGCGACGAGGCTTGGACCTCTGTCGAGACAGCAAAGGTGTGCCGGTCGGCATAGGTGTGGGCCAGCTGGCTGAAGCGAGAGGGGAGAGTATCGTCTTCACGACTTGCATCCTTTCCATACCGCGCGACAAAAACGACCTCGTCGTCGCCCAGTAGCGCCGTCACATTCGTATCGTCAACGACCGAGAGGATGGGTCGAGCCGAGCGGCGCAGGAACGCAAGCAGGCCTGGCGCCTCGCGAGCACCTCGGTAGCGCTGTACGCCACGAGACGGATCCCGGTGGAATAGGCGGATCGCCGGGTAGGAAGACACATGGAGCTCGTCGCAGAGCCGAATGTCCTGTGTACAGTCGATGCTGACGACTGTGGCGGTTGTTGCTTCGCGGACGACCAATGTCCACTCGTTGTCAAGTCGTTTACATGATTCTCTGTGTGGGGTTAGTTCGGCGACGCGGTGCCTACTCGAGGACTGGAAGTGCTCTTACAATGATGGCTAAGCTGTTAGTATGTGCGTAAACGGTTTTGAAATCGACAGTAAAGAACATACCTCGACGACTGTAAACGAAGTAGAAACACAGTCTACGTTAGCCCCACGGCCAGGCTCGTTTTCAAGCCTCTCCTTCTCGTCTGTACTTACACGCAACAAGAGTGCGCTGTTTTGTTTCAAAGGTCTTCCGAAAGCCGGCTTCCGACATGTGCTTCCATGCTGCGGCGGGCGATACAGCGACGGCAGCCATGAGAAATGTTGTGTTGGCGAGTCTCATTTTGTCCAGGTGTGATGGTGAAAGTCGACGATGTCGACGAGCGAAGAGAAGCGGGCAACAAAGCGAAAAAATTGGCCAAGATTCTAGAAATATTTGCGCGTCTCTGACGCACATCTCTTGTCAGAAGACCTGGCAGAATGCGCTGCCTGCAGTCTGATGTCTACAGTCATCTGTCGGATCCACGGTTGGCCCCTGTGAATGACGATCTGTGCACCCAAATCCACAACTCAAGACGTTTCATGACGGCATATTGACGTACCGAGGGGGTGAAGAGGGTAAGCAATCACACGAAAGAAGAAGGAGAGCGAAGAAAAGACAAGAAAAAAGAAAAAGAAGCTAGAAAAAAAGTCTTATTTGATTTTAAATTGTGCGTCTCAAAAAGCCAAAATTGATATCAATGTCAACACCATTGCTGACTGTCAAAATGCCGTCTCGACGAAAACACTCAATTGCTGGCCTCTGCGCACTGCTTTCGTTGCTGCGCCTGTCCCGAGCCGCATCGCAATCGGTCCTCACAGACGCCACCAGCAACGCCGCCGCCTACGTCTGCCAACATCCACCATACGAGGTCCACCTCGTCTCCTCGTCGCCCCTCGTTGTCTACCTCGCCGGATTTGTCACGCCCGACGAGTGTGCCCACTTGACGGAAGCAGCGCACGATACGTTTGCCCAATCGGCCGTGGTGGACAGAAAAAAGGCCGACGGCCGCGTCGTTCTCGACAAGGTGCGCACGTCGCAGTCCACGAATGTGCCGAGGGACCACATTGTACGGTGCATTGAGGAACGCGCATTGCGGTTTCAGGGATTTCTCGACGGCCCCTCGTCATTGACGACATCGTCGGCGTCCTCCTCCTCGTCCCGCCTTGAACCGTTGCAGCTGGTCAAGTACGGGCGTGGCGAGCACTACCACTACCACACGGACTGGTTTACCGACCCCGTGCACGCAACGGCGGCGCAGGGCGGCAACCGGGTGTCAAGCTTCTTTGCGTATGTGCATGTGTCAAACGGGACGACACACGGCGGGCCGGGACCTGCTGCCCTCCGCGGCGGCGGCACGAACTTCCCGCTCGTCAACGCGCCCCCACCCACCGACCAGTGGTGCGCATACACGGACTGCGACGAGCCGTGGGAGCGCGGCGTGACGTTCCGCCCCGTGCAGGGCAACGCCGTCTACTGGGACAACCTGCTGCCGCGCACGGAAGGCCAAGACACGCGCACCGGAGATCCGCGGGCGCTGCACGCGGGGCTGCCGGTCGTGGCGGGCGAGAAGATTGGGATGAACATTTGGACGCGCGAAGGGACTGTGCCGGCAGCCATTCGTGGGGAGGAAGACAGATAACACAAATACCAGTAGTTTTCATGGGAAAATGCACTCTATTTAACTGCTTTTGATGTCGTGGTATCGTAACACGTTGGTACAGGGCCAGCGACAGCCGCTGACGCACCTGCTCTTTCTTATAAGAGGGCCGCTCCAACGACGGCGGCCACGGCCAGGTTCTTGACGACGTGGACTGCCCGCCCGACCGACGCGGCATTCGTGCTCGCCGAGGTCGACGCAGATGTAGTTGTGGTTGCTGCCAACGAACCGCCCTTGGCACCCGCATCGCTGCCAGTGTCGCTGTTGGACGACGACGGCGATGTGGCTGCCGTCGCTGATGGTTTGGACGAGGTCGAGGCCTTTGTTTGTGTCGTTTTGGATGCGCTGCTCGGCTGGGCCGCTGTGTTCGAAGGCAGCGCCTTGCCCTTCGCGCCGCCTGCTTTCTGATACGGCGCCAGCACGCACTCGCTAAAGAGCGTGTTGTCCTTGTAGCTGCCGTCCGGCTGCAGCGTGGGCGTCAGGCTGAGCACGTACGTCTCGTCAAATTGGCCGGCGGCCCACGATACGTAGCCGATGTAGACGTCGTCGTTCTCGTTGATAAAGGCGTTTTGCGCGCAAAAGTCCGTCATGCACGAAGGTTCGCTCGACGCGCCCGTCTCGCTAATCAAGCCCTGGCGCTTCTTTTGGCGCAGGTAGGTCGCCAGCATCGTGAAATTGCCAATGTTGTTCGTCGTGCATTCGCCATTCTGGCCCGAGTTGTTGTTGTCGAGGTACTTGTGGATGTCCAGGTACAGTCCGTCGGTCGAGCCGTCCGGGTTCGTAATGGCCAGCAGGGCGTCAGCGCTGCCCGTCGAGATGAGCGTCGCGGCGCTGTCAAAGTTCGTGCCCGGTAGCAAGATCATCTGCGTCTTGGCGCCGGCATTGCGTATGCCGTTGACGACCTTTTGGCACGTGGCTGCCCATGTCTTCAGATCCAGGTCGTGCGGCTCGTTGGTGATTTCAAAGACGACTTTGGGCTCGTCGGCGTACATTTTTGCGAGAGCCGCCCAGATCGCAACAAACATGTCGTCTGACGGTCCGCCCTGTCCGACGATGCCGCCATTGAACCGAGCAAAATTGTGCACGTCAATCATGCAATAGGCACCGGTCGCGAGGCATGCCTTCATGAACTGATCGTAGCGACCGGCATTGGTCGGGTCAAACGTGTCGCTGACTTCTTTGTCGTTGTTGATGAGGAATTGCCATGATGTTGCTAGAGGACGGGCCGGTTAGTGCCATAGACCTTTGACAGCATGCCAAAGAAGAGGCAAGGACAAAAAGACAAAAAGCCATAAAAACATACGCAGCCGGAACACGTTCACGCCGTCATCCTCGACGAAATGCTTCATCTGGCCGCCGCCGTCGGCATGGCCCAGTTCCGTCAACGGCAGGGTCGCCGTGGAGAGTGGACAGGAGCCCTAGAGTCGTGTCAGTTTGATTTGCACTGTGGGCATTCTCGTATTCAGGGTCTCGTATATCCGTATTAGTGCAATTTTGTTGGACAATAGTGACGGGCAATTTGATGGGTGGATTTGGCATATGGCGGAATTGACGTTTAGCGAGTGTGCTTGGGCGGGGCGGCCCAGCAAATCGTGGCTTGGCCAGGCTTACATCGATATCACACCCAAAGTCGCCGCCAGCCATGGCAACGCCCTGAAAGGAGCGCAGGAAGTCAGTATTTTTGTCGACGTGGAGGTCAAAGCGTGTCAAAGTAGACACGCTTCAAAATGCAAGAAAACTCACCAGGAATTGGACGGCAGCCTGAGCATAAGCGAGGAAGCCCAAAAGGACGAGGGAACGAAAATAAGACAGAGACAGCATTGCGAACAGAGGAATGCAAAGAAAGACGAGATGGAAACGACAAGAATTGCAAATAGAGAGAATAAGACCCCGGGAAGGACGAGCAAAAGAAATATTAAAATTGATAGGGTATATAAATGCAGCCTCGAAGAGGAACGATCGTGGTGAAGAGAAGCGAGGAAGACGAGAGAGATGGAAGACGAGATCGAGAAAGGCAATGTCGAAAGAAAACAACGCAAAGCCGAGACGGAACGGCCGGACTGGCTGAAGAACGCCGTAGAATAAAAAAACGAGTGACGCGATGTGCTGGAAGTACGACGACGATGTACGACGTAGGAGATGCGAAACAAACAAAGATGAAAAAGAAAAGAAAAAAGAAGATGCTGAGTGCACTTCTGTATTGATAATGAAGGCGAGAGGTTAGAAAAAGGAACAAGACGGTAGAAAACTAGAAATCAAATGGGCAAAAATAGACCATAGAATAGGATTTCCGAGAGGACCACAAAAAAGGCAGACTCACCTTCGCAGACCCAAAATACGAACATGAGGCGGCGTTCGAAATAGGAAAATAAAAATAAAATAGGAAATCGTCCGTGTTCGCAGAACCCTGGCAACCCAGCAAAACCTAAAACCAAACGGTTGTGGTCAAGAAGGTCTCCACAAGGAACGGCGCACGGTTTAGGGGCGTAGGGGGGCGAAATGAGGGTGTCAGGACACGAGCGCCTATACGAATGACAGGAGCAAGAGGATGCAAATTGGGCGTTGTAGCGTTATCAGGTTAGTGGCGGGCGTGGACAAATTCGACAGGTTGATGGCGCGGCTGAGACGCGCGTGCTAGGCACAACGGTCAGCACTCCATCGGAAACCAACTCAGGCCAACAGTGCGAGCCCATCTTTCCAAAGCAGCCAAGTAAAATCACCTGGCGAGATGAGCAGATTCACAATAACAGAGAAAATAAATACGAGCAGATGATGCAAAGCAGGAGAACACGAGGGAAGAAAACAGGGTACCGATACGACAGGACAACATGTCAGCACATACAGACGAGCTCGACAAAAGGTGAGACGGCCTGGGACGGGGCTGAGCCTCTAAATCGACCCCTATTCCGTCTCCAAGACCTTGTCGTAGATCACTGCGCCCAGTGCGGTGGACCCGGGAAAAAAAAAGGGATTGTGGATATTGGCGAGAAATGTTTGTTGTGTCGTAGACGTAATACATGGCGAATACGACCAAATGCAACGATATGCAATAATAAAATGCGCGGGCGACGATCGAACAACACAGGTTTCAGACCTCTCTGCACACCTTACTTGTCCCGGAAAATGCGCACCTGCACCTCACCGGCATCGTCGACCCAAGCGCGGAACATGCCGCCGCTGTTGTAGTCCTGGATCACGGCGGTGCGGACCTCCCGGACATGGCCACGGTCGTCGTGCACAACCACAGACTCAACACCAATGATGCCGCCTTCGCCCTCGCCGGCGCGGCCCCAGCGATCGCCCGCACTCTGCTGCAACAACCCGCCTGGACCAGCCACGGCCGAAAGCGCGGAAGCCAACGACAGCGGCTTGTACTGCGCCATGGCCGCGACCGTGTGCGCAGCACTGATGCGCAAAAAGGAGTCGCCGTTGCCCGTGCCAGAGAGGCCGATGGAACGTGTTGTTTTTGTGGACGACGATGGCGTCGACGATAGAGGTTCATAAAAAAGGGCTGTCGGCGAGGGAATCGGAAGACAATCGGCCAGCAGGTTGCAGAGAGCCCGAGACAGCTCGACAACCGGGCGAGCCGTCTGCACACCCCCTGCTGTTCTCGCTGCCGCGACCGCCCATCCCGTCGGATCGCCGTCCTCGGCCCACGTGCCCGCCCACGAGCCTGCACCCACCACTGGCGTGTCACCCACGCGGCCCGTCACCTTGTTCGTCAGGCCGCCCGTGCTCGTCGCACAGCACACCACCCCGTCCGCGTCTAGGGCCACCGCGCCGCACGTGCCTTGTGGGAGGTACTCGCTGGCCGACCAGGAGCTCGTGGCCGCCCGCCCTTGTTTCTCGGCCTCGAGAGCACGTATATGCTCGTCCCACCGCTGCTGCGTGAAAAAGTAGGACGGGTCGACGAGCGGCAGTCCGTAGCGCGTGGCCAACGCCTCGGCGGCTGCACCATAAATCTGCGCATGGCCTTGGGCGCCAGAGTCAATGTTGGGTCCCTGCATGTCCTCGCTGTCCTCGCGGCTTGTGCGGCTCGCCCGCCGGCCAGCGCTCCCACCCTAATCAACATCGCCGTGTTCGAGCATCCGTCGTGCCAGCCGAATCGGGTTCCGCACCCGGCGCAGTCCCATCACGCCCACCCCCCGCTTGGCTCGGCCCCGTGATACCATAATGCCTGCCTCGAGCTCGTTGATCCCGTCGCGTGTAAACACGGCGCCGTGGCCGCTGTTGAAGAGCGGGCAGTCCTCGAGCAGAACGATGGCGAACGTGGCCATCTCAAGTGCAGTCGGACCCGACGAGTCCGACGGCGCAGCCGTACCCGATGCCATGTATTCTTTGGTGCGCGTAATCTATCGGTCAGTCTTGATAGCATGACATTAGAGGACAGACGTCTGAGTTTGGAGTAAGTAAACGTACAATCTCCTTCAGGGCTGCTCGGTAAGCGATCCGTCGTTCGGGAGTCAACGTCGTCCGCGAAATGTTGCCGGCGCCGCCATGGATGATGATGCGTGGTTGGATTGGCACGTGCTGTCGGTGGCTGGTCTTGTCCAAGAGGCCGTTCATGTTGGTGGTATCAGATCGGTTGTTGTCGTAAGTGTTGTTGTATACAAGATGGCTTCGTTCAAACTCAGGGGCTATCGTAAATTGTGGTCATCAGCCCCTTCCCGCAATGGACGTTTCGTTGGGAGCTTGAGTCGGTCGCAGCTTCCCTCTTGCCGATACATCGGAGTGAAATGTCGTCAGTTGTTGTGTCGCTATCTTACCCCTCGTGCAATGCGTCCATGCTAAGCGAATTAGGAAGGCGGCCGATTGGGGAAGGCGGCCGATTGGACCTCGGGGGCTAACAACGACCGTTACAGCGTGGTTTGGAAACAGCGCCCTGTACTTTGTAATTACCGAACAACTGCCTACGACAGCCTCGCCAGTCGGCTTTTGGTACGCCGATTGTGAACTTCCCTTCTTGCGATAGCAACAAGAAGCACGACGTAGGAAACAAGACATACAGCACGACACGACTTGTTTTCAGTATGGAGGATCGTACTCATCGCATCTTCCGGATAGACATGACGACAATGTCATCGAATTCAAAAGCAGAAAATGGCTGAATCAGTTGACACGATTCCTGGCTTTCTTGTCGGAGAGAAGACAGCTAACCGAACTGGACTTTACCACCTCTGCTGGGTTCTTCTTCAACTTTCTCCGTCGTACTTCTTCTGCCAATATTCTACGTCTCTACGATCTCCTTAGAGCACCTGAATTTGCGCCATCTCGACTCACTTTAACTAGTATGCACCATATCCAACACAGCACACACCCCGACACCAAGCGACGAGGACTACTTGACACAGCGCCACACGCAGCGCTACCGCTTCGGCATTGTCGAGTTGGACTTGGTGCATTTGGGAGTCTGTTCAGCGACGAGGGCCAGCCATGATGCGGCATCCCGGACCGAAAACGGGACCGACCTGCTGAGTATGAGCCTGGGCGCAGACGTTGTGAGCTACAGTGCCGCTGCGCCAGACGTTCTCGGTCTTGCATGGGAGGCCGGCATCACATCGCGTCCCGAGAAGGTGCAAAATTGGTGCGCCGTCAAAGTCAATCCTTTCAACGTGCAGATGCTGTTCCTGTCGGTGCCCGGATTGCACGAGGGCGGTGTGTAGAAGACGCGGCCATCTCGTCGCCCAAGAAACAGAAAATTTTCAGTCGGCTCCGGGACGGACGCCGATGTGCACTGTCAAGTAAACGTAAACGACACGCTGTGCATGGTCCAAGAGGTGGACGCCTTTTTGCAGGACACGCCGTGTGGTAGGCGGCAGAGTCATGGGTTGGGTGTGCTCGGTTTGAGGGTATCTCTTTCACTTCTGGCGTTCTGTCGGTTGTTGGCGAATCCAACCATCTTCCCACCCGGCCATCGATTGAGGCGCCCTTGGCGCACTTGGCGTCTGTGAAGACAAGCATGCCACGCCACACGAAGCTTTTAGGAGCGCAGGAGCATTCCCAAACGGATGGAAGCCATGGAAGAGATGTGGAAAACGCCTCAAAGCTTCTTTAGAACTGGCACTCTGGGGGCGAGTCTGGGCTTGTGGCTGCTGTCGAGGCATCGGTCCCTGTGCGGCGTCCATGCTGTCTGTTGTGCGCGGATGGTCGCGTTGGCTTCGTAAGAGTGCAGCCTCACAGCCCGCTGTGAAGTGTTTTGGTGCATGTTCACGACTTTCGACGTCATTCGATCGCCCCTGCTACATACAGAGAACACAGTCTCTCCTTCCGTTTGAAGCAGGCTGCCAAGTGCTCATATACTGGAGGACGCAGCGACAAGCAGCAAGTGCAACTGCCTATTTTGGACAATAGGAAGCCACACGCATATCCACGCCTTCGTTCCTGCCCTTCCTTGCCACTCCACAACCGCAACCACGTTTTTTGCAATTCTCAAAGGCGATCGTTCGTCGACAAGTCGTTAATTTTATTTTGACCAATTCGAGAAGAAAAAAAGAACGCCAACATACTGAGTTACACAGCACATCAGAAATTGGTCGGGAACATGGGTCTGTCTGCTTACGACGTACGACGTACTCGTCAACGATGCGGTCGGTCACTCAGTCGGGTGGACCCACATCAACCAACAATGGACCAATACGGCAACCGCACCAGCACCACGTGTAAGTCCCATTCACGAATTGGCACCAAAAGAAGAAGGCACGAGGGATCGGCAGCACCAAGGACCATGAACAGGACAAAAGCTCACTCAAGTGTGCATCGCCAGCCTATATTTCCATACGCTTTCCTGTACTGAATTGTCCCAGGGTACATGAACTGTCGCTTATGACCTTCCGGGGCTTTCCAGGACCCGCTTGCCCAGCTGTCATCTCGCTTTTAGCTTTGCTCGTCGCTTTACTCTTGGATGGCTTCATGCAGCCATACAATCTTTGACGTTATTTCCAGGCGTCTTCCATCCCACTTCCTACTTTGGGAGACCGAACGACCTTTATGCTTGGCTTGGATGCTGCCCCCACACCTTGCCTTGACCATGTGGGCAACTCACAAGTCAAGGCCAAACGACGAAACGACGAAACGGCAAAACGAAATTGAAGAAGAGAGAAACCGAGGAGACCAATAGTGTCAATCTAGGTACGACATAGTCAACGACGAATAGGTAACCCGGTATTGCAAAGCCCTCTGTCCACGCCCCACGTTCACGTTTTTCAAAGTCAAGCTCTCAGGGCCACTTGCACCTGTGTTGTGATACGGAGTACATCTGCTAGATGCTTCTACAGGGAAATATGTTTGGCACCCCTCAAATAACACCGTGACACATTCTCCCAATGTGCGTGCAGTTGTCGTGTTGTCTGAACTCAGTTTTTACCAAAACGTGTGTCGGCCAGTCCTGAAAACACAACTTCAGCGATGGCACATCGTAAATGTCTTGATCGGTTTGGATAGGCTTCTACGGAGGAATACCTGGTTAAGGCGACTTACAAGATGTCCAGGTGGAAATAAAAGAAATTGCCCCAGATGCACTAAGACACCAATACGCGCATGGCCAAGGCGGACGAGTGAATGCTGCAACACCGCTGGCCAATGAGCCGCGTGCTTATTCCACATGCGCTCTCCTGTCCATTGACAACAAAAAGGTACACAAAGCTAGACAAAAGCTTAGGAAGCCAAAGGAACAGGGCCACGCACAAAAAAGGCTTGGCAGCGTGCCGGGAAGCCACTCGCAAGGCGACGCATGCACGACAGGGCCTGGGGGCGTGGCCTTGTCCCTACTGTGGAACCCACTTTTTGTTTTCCCGTCTTGCCTTTCTGTCTCCTCGGTCGGTGTCGATTCAAGCAAAACCCGTTTTCTGGGGACCAAATGTGCCAATATGCGATCGCAGCTGTTGTCGCCGAACCCAGGACACCGGACGATGGGCGAACACGCTCTCGACAGAACCGGGGTCATCCTAGCACGACATGCGTACGAAGTACATTGTGCTGAAGTAGCTAGCCGTCCACTTCCTCCTCGTTGAGGACTTGTTTGTGATGTGCGGCGCGGGCGATCGGCACCCCAAAAGGTCCTGTTCCTTACCCATAGATTGCCCGTGCCTGTTCCACTGCTGCTGCGACTTTTGTATAAACTCGTGGCAGCCCGCTCAGAAGATCGGCACGCTCTTTTCGCCTTTCCGCCTTTTCTCCCTCTCTTCACCACCCACCCTCGTTTTTTCCCCCCATCTTCTACATTCCTTGTGTTGTTCGTCACCGTCGCATCCCGCACGACTTCAAGATGATGTACACGCCTGCCCTTCTCCTGGCGGCGGCCACGGCCGTCTCAGCCGTCGCCGTCTCCGTGGAGAACACCGCCACGGCCGCCAGCGATGTCTACGCTGCCCAGGCCACGGCCGCGTCGCGCAGCCCCGTCACCCACGTCAAGGGCAAGGCCTTTGACCGTCTGGCCATCATCTGGCTCGAGAACACCGATTACACCCTTGCTGCCGGTGACCGTGAGTAGCCTCCTCTTCCGTCGACGACGACTGTGTCCCATGTGCGATGTTCACTAACCGTCCAGCCAACCTGGCCTTCTTTGCCGAGAAGGGCATCAAGCTGACCAACAACTTCGGCGTCACACACCCGTCCGAGCCCAACTACGCCGCTGCCATTGGTGGCGACTACTTTGGCATGAACAACGACAACTTCAACTTCATCGACGCCAACGTCAGCTCCGTCATCGACCTGCTCGAGGGCGCCGGCATCAGCTGGGGCGAGTACCAGGAGGACATGCCGTATGCCGGCTTCGAGGGCTTTGCGTGGGTCAACCAGGAGACCCAGGCCAACGACTACGTCCGCAAGCACAACCCGGCCGTGCTCTACGACCAGAACACCAACCAGCAGAAGCGCCTGGAGCAGATGAAGAACCTGACGGGCTTCTACGAGGACCTGGCGGCCGGCACCCTGCCCCAGTGGATGTTCATCACCCCCAACATGACCTCGGACGGCCACGACACGTCCGTCACCGTTGCCGGCACCTGGACCCGCACGTTCCTCGAGCCCCTGCTCTCTGACAAGCGCTTCATGGACAACACCTTGGTCCTCATCACCTTTGACGAGAACTCCAGCTACAGCATCCAGAACAAGATCCTCGGCATCCTGATTGGCGACGCCGTCCCCGCCGAGCTCGTCGGCACCGAGGACGACAACTTTTACAACCACTACAGCGAGATCGCCACCGTCGAGGCCAACTGGGACCTGCCCACCCTGGGCCGCTGGGACGTCGGTGCCAACGTCTACAAGGTCGTGGCCGACAAGACCGGCGACAAGCTGCGCACCTACAACCCCGACAAGCTGGCCAAGCACTACTACAACGTGTCGTACGACGGCGTCTTCAACAGCAAGCCCACCTTCCCTGTCTACCCCAAGCCCAACCTGTGCCTCGAGCACCACGGCCGCAAGGTCGCCCAGAGCGTCCAGCGCAAGTGGTACGGCAACAAGAACCCCTCCTACTACAAGAACACCGTCGAGGTCAACGACGGCCTCAACCCCCCTCACCAGTACGGCTTCGGCCAGTAAATGGGCCGGGATTGTCTTTTGGTGAGAAAATGGATGTTCGAGACGCCTGTGCGAGTGAAACGATGGAGCGTAGGATGGAGGTTGGAAGGTGGCATGTGACATGCAAAGGTCACGGTCCCTTGTCGAGCAATATACTCTGTACGTCCGTACCGAAAACATAATATATAATTCAAGTCGATGACCGCCTCCTTGGGTCGACTCTAAAACACGGTATTCAAACTGTCCGCTTCGGTCCATGTGAGATGAGGTGACCTCGATGGAGGACGAGTCGCGGCTGGTCACAAGTACAGTAGTATCCGTAGCCAATACCAACGTATCAACTATGGGCAACGACACAAACTGTTGGCATCAAGTGCAAAGTGTTGGAAGTCGTCATCACGCAATGCCAGACCTACCGTTGCGTGCTTGGCTTGTGGAGAGACTTGTGTCGTCCCGTTTCGAGATTTATTAGCGCTAATCAATGTAGAGAGAATTGAAAGAAAGAGAAGAAAATGAAGGAAAGGGAAAAGAGGGAAGAAAAAGAAGAAAAGGAGAGAAAGTGGAAAACAGAAGAATATTTAGTTACATTATTTTCAAAGAAAGGTAGCTGCGAGATGAGGCAACCAAGTTCGCCGTGACCACTCACGTGACAGTGCACGGGCCAGCGCCTTCCTCCGCAACCACTCAACGCGTGCCTGCCCGCCATAGACGCGACGCGATTTTGCGCATTTGCTGTTGTGAGTCTCCGACGACACTACGATAGCCTCGTTTCAACCTCACTACGACAACGACCGCCCACGTCAAGCTGACCTCCCCTGCGTCCATCTGCAACCTCGTCAGTCCGACCTCGCTTGACTCACCCTTCGACTCCTCCACCGATCCCTTCCATCCTTCCATCACATACATCTGCCCCCGCTCAACCGCCACGATGTCAGATGTCGAAGACATGGACGTGGATCCGCCTCGCAACGACATCAAGTTCTCCGCCGACAACAGCAGCAAGGGCAAGCGCAGCACGGCGGCCAACCTGCCTGTCGAGGCCGAGGACACGCTGCCGTGGGTCGAAAAGTACCGCCCCGTATCGCTCGCCGACGTGTCGGGCCACCAGGACATTCTGGCGACGATCAACAAGTTTGTCGACTCGAACCGGCTGCCGCATCTGTTGCTGTACGGACCGCCCGGCACGGGCAAGACGTCGACCATCCTGGCGCTGGCGCGGCGGATCTACGGCGCGGCCAATGTGCGGCAGATGGTGCTGGAGCTCAACGCGTCCGACGACCGCGGCATCGACGTGGTGCGGGAGCAGATCAAGACGTTTGCGTCGACGAAGCAGATTTTTGCCGCCAAGCCGGCGGCGGCAGCAGCGACAGGTGCTGGGGCTGGTGCTGGCACGGGTGCCGAAGGCGCCAGTGGCCGCAACGGCGGCGCCAGCCTCGCCACGTTCAAGCTCATCATCCTCGACGAGGCCGACGCCATGACCAACACGGCGCAAATGGCCCTGCGCCGCATCATGGAAAAGTACACGTCCAACACGCGGTTCTGCATCATTGCCAACTACGCGCACAAGCTGTCGCCGGCGCTGCTGTCGCGGTGCACGCGCTTCCGGTTCAGCCCGCTCAAGGAAGCCGACATTCGCTCGCTGGTCAACCGCGTCATCGACGAGGAGGGCGTGCAGATCATGCCCGCGGCGGCCGACGCGCTGGTGACGCTGAGCCGCGGCGACATGCGGCGCGCGCTCAACGTGCTGCAGGCGTGCCACGCGTCGAGCACGCCGCTGCGTGGCCCGGACGACGACAAGGACAAGGACAAAAACGCACCCGTGGTCCGCGAGATGATTACGACCGAGACCATTTACAACTGCATTGCGGCGCCGCCACCAGACGCGGTCCACGAGATTCTGCAGACGCTGCTGACGACGACCGACGTCACGTCGTGCCTCAACACGATTAATGCGCTCAAGGTGGCGCGCGGTCTGGCGCTGGCGGACATCGTCACGGCGCTGGCCGAGGAGATTGTCAAGGTGGAGGCAAGCCCCAAGGTGATGGTGGCGTGGCTCAGCGGGCTGGCGGACATTGAGCACCGGGTCGCGAGCGGCGCGGGCGAGACGGTGCAAACAGGGGCACTGGTGGGCGTGATTCGGAGCGGATGCGAGATGATGAGCTCATAATGGGTGTGCTAGACAGCAGCACACGACACAAAAACGGGTTAGGTAACATATGCGGCATATACCAGCGAATATCATTTTCACGTTGCAACGAAACCGACAAGGTCGAATGTGTGTGTGTGTGTGTGTGTGTGTGGTGGGAAACGATTTGATCCTGTGTCTTGTGTCTCAGCAATTCAACCGGCTCGACTGTCTGCAGTCTCTTTGACGAAGCCTAGTTTTAACTTGCTACAGACACAGCCTCGGATTCTCCATTTTGCCGCCCTGCGTTGGTCTTGCCTGACCCGCATTTTGTAATACAAAATCACCCGCACCGCCGTTGCCGGTTTCATACGCACCGCACCAATGCTTTCCAGCGCGTTTAAAATACCCCAGAAATGTCAGGAGAAAGCAGAGCAGGGTGGATTGCCTCAGTGGACTGTGGTAGGTATAAAATAAGACCAAAAGCAAAAAATTACATAGGGGCCTCCGTGCGCCAAATCGCCGCATCGACATTACCCAACAAGACAGACCGCAATCCCTCAGTAGGTGTACTTTTCAGCGGGCAGCTCAGTAACGGGCATGGGGCTGGCCAGTTCAGCCGTGTTGGGTGCATTCCCATGTACACTGCTGTGTCCGTGCTGGGGTCCCAGTGCGCCTCCGGTCATGTTGTTGTCGACACTGTTGTGGCGAAACGAGCCCGTGTGGTTCCAAGTCGGTGTCCGCGGTGTTGTCGTGAAACTGAAGCCGTTGAGTTGCTGCTGAACATATGGTTGGTGTTGGCTCTGGTATGGCTGTGTCTGCTGAGTGAACGGTGGCGGTGGCTGGTGAACGCTCGATGAAGAGCTGCGACGAATGCCGCCAGCACTGTACTGCTGCTGCTGCAAATGCTGCTGCTGCTGATGTTGTTGTTGTTGCTGCTGCTGAAGATGATGCAACTGTTCGTGGGACATGGGCGAGACCGTCTCGTCCTGCATGGCACTGGGATGGGGTGCGCCTCCGTGGCCGGCCAGTCCTTGTGTGTTGATGCGGAGAGAACGTACGCGCGTGGAGAGTGGTGAGGGCACAGCCGACGAGGGAGGCAGCGACGACGAGGCAATGAGGAGCGCCTCTTTTTCTTGTTGCTGCAGCCGATCGACCTGGCGGCGCAAGTGCCGTGCCCGGCTGTACGAGAAGCCCAGGGCCACCAGAGCCGCCAGCAGCAGAGCACCCAGCACGCCGGCGACAATGACTGTCACCAGCCGCTGGCTGCGGTCGAAGTTGAAGCGGCCGCCGCCCCCGTTGCCGTCGTAGCGGCCCGTGGGGGATGACGCGGCCCCTGTCGTCGTCGACGCGTTGTCGGCCGTCGGCACGGCCGTAAACTGCCGCACCACGGCCCCCAGTCCCCGCGCCAGTGTAAAGTTCTTCTGCGCACAGCAGTCCGTCTTGTTGCAGGACTTGCCAAAGCTGTCAAAGCAACAGCACCAGGCGCTGCCCCCGCACGACATCACCGTGTACGTGGGCTGGATGGGCGTGCCGGCCGTCACGTAAATGTTGGGGCTCGCGGTGCCGCAGTACTGCGGGCACGCCGGGTCGAGTCCGGTAGGGTCGGTGCAGCCCTCGGCCCAAAAGGTGTTGTTGTCGGAGCGCTGGGTGGCGAAGCAGACGCCCGTGGCCAGACAGGCTTCCTGTTTGCTCTCGTCGCAACAGGCGGCATGCGATCCCGACTGGCCGGTGGCGGCGGCGTTGCAGGGCGTGCCGGAGCTCTTTTGGCCGTTGACGGCATAGCACTGCGCATCGGCGACGGCGTGGGGGAGGTTGATAAGAAATAGGAGGTAGGCCAAGGCGACAAGGGCCCTCGGCCGGTGGTGCTGCAGCATGCTGACAATGTTAGCGACGATGTCGTCTCCCTGTCCCTCCACAGCGGTGTCTGTGGTCAGTGTGGAGAACAAAGGCAAAGGAGAATAAAACCCAGAAAATCAGAAGATCGGAAACCAGGAAACTGATATACCTGTCGCTCAACGGTCCATGGATGAGAAACTGGCGAGTTGGGGCTTGCTGTTCCCGTTCCAGTTGTGTGCCCAGTGCCAACTGCCGTGCCTTGGCGTGTTTGGATCTGGTACGAACTCCTGTTTCCACTTCGCGGTCTATATAAAGGCCGGGGACTGGCAGAGATGCGGCTGTGCTTACGAGACTTGATCTCTCACCAACCTATTCCTTAGCTTTGACCTACACTCCATGATCGCCATCTGCATGATCAGGGGCTTTTCCATTTAGCCAGGCCGATCTGAAGACGATGGTCTGAGCCGACACGGAGCCGCGGACGGGGGACAGGGAAAGGGAAAGGGAGAGGGAAAGCAGAAAGATAGGAGACTACTCGAGAATGTTAAAAGAGGGGGATGGTCCTTCTTTTCTCTGTGAAAAATGAAACAATGCTCTGCTCGCCGTGGTCTTTCTCGCCTCATTTCGTCAAACGTTCTGTGTCGACACATGGCACGTCACCGTGCAAGCAAAGATGTCTTTTCAATGCGCCAAATAATTGTGTGTAACACTAGATATAATTCGACGCTACACCACATCTCCAACTCTCCAATGTTCAGCACTTGACGTCTGCTTCGTACTTTTCGCATTTGTCGCGATGTAGCCCGATTAGGAAATTTTCATGTCTGACTTACACGCTGTAAGGCAGCCAAGACAAGCTATGATTTCGTAGTGTGGTCCTCTCTAATTATAGGGCGACGTTGCGGGACGAAGCCCGACAGCTACTGGGCTCAGCGGGTGATTCAGTGGATTCAGTGGATTCAGTGGATTCAGTGGATCATAGTGTGGGACATAAAGTCAGCCAAAAGCCAAAACTTTACCTGGGATTAATTTACCAGCTTTTGTGCAGTGTTGTTTCCTAGTTCTGTTTTCTATTTCTCATTGTCATATGTCTCTCAATCTTCCGTTCTTCCACTTGTTTCGGTTTTTTTTCTCCCATCCTTCTCGTGTCTGTATATTTCTTTCTTTGTCGCCTTGTCGCTTTTTCCTTGTCCGTAGAATAAGCTCTCGCCAAAAGCCGCTAACACGGACAGCGCCGACCACCAGTAGCACCTGCTTCGGCGTCGTCGCCGTACTGTACCCAGCCGCACCAATAATGGGAAGGCACAACCTACACGTGCAAATGCCATTGTCCGCCGAAGCCGGCCGGCGCAAGAGGCAGCACTGTGCTGGGACGTCCTGTTAAGGCTTCTTTTATTTTTCTACGAGTCCCAATACGATCTTAAACGGCAAGCGTATTCAAGCAAGGCATGGTTCAGAACGTCAGGCGGGCATACGACTGGCATAGCTCGTCAATAGCTTCCTCGGTGCATAACTACGCACCGGTTCATCCGAGGCAACCCGGCTGAGCGTCGTAATTCGACAGAGAGATGGACGGGGCACCATCTGGCCATCCATGTTCTCATAAACGCAAGTCGCTGCTCGGTCAATACGAACGAGGCATTTGATGACAGCGGCGCTTGCAGCAGAGGTCTTTCCTAATCCGTTCGAGCCACTCTTTCTCCGCTCTTGCGTCTTTACATCCCACTGGAAAATGCATCATCATCTTTCCTCTTTTGGTATGCATCACACCTTCTTCGTTCCTTCCTCCAGCCTGCAGTCATGTCGCATCGCCTTCCCTTCTCGCAAGATCGGCGCACGTGGGACTAGGACGGGATGAACTGGACGGGACGAACAGGACTTGAGAGGCGGGGAAGGCGCGAGAGGCTTTACAGAGAGAATCAATAGTCACGTTGAGGCCAAAGCTCGAGATGCAAGTCAATCAATCTACGCTCACCGACCACGGCCGGCTTACGGCTGCAGAGTACTTTGTATGTGTATCTGTACCGCCTCCGACATCAATTACCTCACAAAGTAAGCACAGCCCAGCACAACGGGGATCGGCACTGTGCAGGCGTATAAATAAGCTCCATCCTCTACGAAATAGTCTTTGGTCAATTTATTTTCTCGCGATCTGCAGAGCACATTTTTCTTACCGTTCTCCCCTCTCTCACATCCTCTCCTACTCACTTCTATTCCCTCTCTATATCCAACCGCCTCGTCCGTCGCTCCCACCATGAAGTGCCAGGTCGGCCTCTTTTCTCTGGCCATGGCCGGCAGCGCCCTTGGCAGCTCGCTGGCCACCGACCTCAACGTCATCTCGCGCTACTGGGGCCAGCTGTCGCCCTACGCCGACAACGACGAGGACTACTTTGGTGTCAACGACGTCGGTGTGCCAGCCGGCTGCGCGCTCGAGCAGGCGCACCTGCTGCAGCGCCACGCCCAGCGCTTTGGCACGGGCGAGTTTGACGACGCGCCCAACGATGCGGCGTTTGCCGCCAAGCTCGCCGCCCGCACAAAGACGACCAACAGCTCGTTCACGGGCCCGCTTGCCTTCCTCAACGACTACGAGTACCTGCTCACGGAGTCCTACCTGACCGGCATCGGCGCCCAGACCGAGTTTGCCCTCGGCGTCAGCTTCTGGAACCGCTACGGCCGTCTGCTGTACAACGCCACCGCCGGCCAGGTTACCTACAACGCCAGCAGCCCTGCGGCGCTGGACGCGTCAAGCCAGCCCGTGCTGCGCACCACCAGCCAGAGCCGCATCTGGAACTCGCAGATCTCGTGGGCCCTGGGCTTCTTCGGCCCCTCCTTCCAGCCGGTCCCCGTGCCGGACCCGACGCTCTCGAACTGGACGGCGCCCTTCCGCGTCGTCGTCATCCCCGAGGGCGGCACCGAGAACAACACGCTGGCCTCCTACGACAGCTGCCACAACGACGGCCAGGAGCCCATTGTCGACCTGGGCGACCAGGAGATGTGGCCGTACGTCGCCTCGTACCTGACGGCCGCCACGGCGCGCCTGCAAAAGTACGTCCCGGCCGGCTTCAACCTCACCACCAACGACACCTACGCCATGCAGAGCCTGTGCGCCTACGAGACGGCCGCGCTCGGCGACTCGGGCTTCTGCAGCCTGTTTACGCTCGACGAGTGGGCCGGCTTCGAGGTCACGCTGGACGCCGAGTACTACTACGACTACTCGTACGGCAACCCGACCGGCCGCGCCCAGGGCATTGGCTATCTCCAGGAGCTGCTGGCCCGTCTCACCAACCAGTACATTTCCGTGAGCAACTCGAGCGTCAACGCCACCATTACCGACAACGCCAACGATTTCCCCCTTGGCGCCAAGTTCTATGCCGACTTTACCCACGACGACATTATCATCTCCGTCCTCACGGCCATGTCGCTCGACTACCTGCGCGACGCCCCGCCCCTCGGCGCGCACGCCTGGCCCCCCAACCCCAACCGCAACTTTGTCCTGTCCCACCTCACCCCCTTTGGCGGCCACCTCGTCACCGAGGTCTACGGCTGTGCCAGCGCCGACCCGGCGGCCGTGACGGAGCACACCACCGTCTACCGCAACCCCAGCGTCGCCGCGGCCGCTGCCAACGGCAGCGCCAGCGCGCCGCACAAATTCATTCGGCTGCGCCTCAACAACGGCATCCTGCCGCTCCACACCATCCGCGGCGGCGCCTGTGCCGGGCGGACGGACGGCCTGTGTGCGCTGGACGACTTTTTGCACAGCCAGGCGAACGCGACTGCGCTCGCCAACTATGCCTATGCGTGCACGGGCAACTACACGCTGAGCGATCCGTTGGACGGCAAGGATTATGACGGAACCATTTTTGCGTAACTGGGGGCCCAATTAGCCGCGAGTCCAGTAGCGGAGGAGTGAGGAGGGAGGAGGTCCTTGCGACAATGCCATTAGGAGAGCGCAGGGCGCTACGTGAAGAAGAAGCAAAAAAAGCACACGATTACGTACATAATGACCCTGCGTGGGAACCATAGAATCGATTCATGATTGATGATGACACCAAAGATGCAATATTCGGCAGAATAAAGAGCAGATAAAAGGCGGACTTCCAGACCTTGTTTGCCGACCCATTGCGCTTGCCTCAGATACAGCCGTCGTAGTCGGACGGGAGTACGTATTTTGGAAAGAACCGCCCGGCCCTCGCAGGGCTCGCAGACAACTGGTATTACGAGACACCGTCGCACTGAGTCGCCACTACCTCGGACTACAAAGTACTTCGTTGCCCACGTACGATGGACGACGTCCTTGTCGCAAAGCACCTTCCGGAAAAGGATGAAGACGCGGGGAAGGTCGCAATCTAACCGTTCTGTCCTACATGATGACTACACGGAAAGCGCGACCCACCCAACTGGTTCTATGAGAAGCTATCCACGCTCCCACCAAAACACTCCACTCTCTCTCCAGATTAGCATGCAGACTTGTGGACGGCGTGACCACAAACCGGACCTTACCGCCAGCAAACTGGCGATAAACGACGTTCCGCGCCGAGATACCTCGATATTTCCGCCTCATACGCGCACGCATCCTACCCCCGTCCAGTCGTAAGGCAGGAAACGTTGATCCTTGTGCGTCTTGCTCTCTCCTCAGTGGACCTCTTGCAAGGGCTCAATTCCTCCACAAATGGTACTTGCCGGCACTTTGGTCCCAACACGTCCCATCGCCCTTTCCTATTTGCTGTGTCTCTTGTACATCTCCTGCTCCTTGCCTCTTTTCCCGACACTTACCTCGCACTCGCCATATTAACGTTGCACATCTCCTTCCTCTTTTGCCTTTCTCGTCTGGCCCCTCCTTTCGTCTGCTCCTTCCCCTCATTTTCACGCCAGATCCTTCACAGCGACAAGCAGTGCCGGCGTATTGTAAATCAACACATGACAGCCACTGCAGCAGCTTAGATGGCTATTGGTTGCCCACACTACCTTCCCGACCACCTTTCTGGTCTTGTTTCCGAGGCCAATATACCTACTCCAGTACGGACGGCAATGTTCCTGCCTGTCTATATATGTAGACGTAAATACCCACACGGGAAGGAGCGACGGGTGCAAATCAAAACTGGAAGGGGCAAGCACAAGAAATAGTTAAGACAGAGGGAAAGAGCTCTCGTGCCACGCCACTTTCCAGTCTGCGTGCCACCGAGTTCCTCAGACGGGAACCTCGATCGCCACTGCCGTGGCTTTTCGTGTCCGCTTCTCAGCTAATCCACTTCCTGTTTATTTTGTCCCTTTCTCCCGCTTTGCAACTCGCCGACGTCTCTTCCCCTCACCCATCATGGTCAACCCGGTTAGAGAAGCGGCCTCACCAGGTGACGGGCCCTCACCGCTGACACCGCAGGTGGATGTGCTCGGGGCCCCAGAGATCTCTGCCGTCGACGAAGAGAAGCAGCCGCCGCGGGTGTCCGCCCACGAGCAGATTGGCGACCAGATCCCGCCTGAGCTGCTCGCCGAGCTGGCACCCAATGGTGAAGGAGAGTACATCCGCCGTCTCGTCAGCGAGATGACCGAGGAAGAGGCCTACGCGATTGTCCAAGAGGGCCTGCGCTTCCACAGCGACGACTGGAACTTCCCGTCGGACATGCGCCAACGCATGGAGCGCCTCGTCACCGAGGGTCCCAAGCAGTACGGACCCTACTACGACCGGGACCTGCGAATCGACGCCGTCATGCTGCGCCACTCCTCGCCTTACCCGGGCGTCCGTGCCGTGGCCGACCCCCAGGACGACGACAGCACCCACGTCGAGACCATCCGCGCCTACTTTTTGGGGATCGGCTGGGCCGTCATCGGCACCTTTGTCTCCACCTTTTTCAACAGCCGGTTCCCGTCGATTGGCCTGAGCGGCTCCGTCATCCAGATCCTGCTCTACCCGTGCGCCAAGTTTCTCGAGTTTGTCCTGCCCGACTGGGGCCTCACCATTGCCGGAACACGCCTCTCGCTCAACCCGGGCCCCTGGACGTTCAAGGAGCAAATGTTTGCTACCATCACCTACAATGTTGCCATCTACACCACCAACGCCTACACGATGATCCTGGTGCAGCGCTCGCCCGTGTACTACGGTGAAACATTCATCACGGTCGGCTACCAGCTGATGCTCACGTTCTTTGTGCAGCTCATGGGCATGGGCTTTGCCGGCTACCTGCGCCGCTTCAGCGTCTACCCTGTCAAGGCCCTGTGGCCCACGGTTCTGCCCATCATCGCCATGAACCGCGCTCTCACGCGGCCCGACCAGCACCAGGAGTCGGCCCATGGCTGGACCATCTCGCGCTACCGCTTCTTCTGCTACTGTGCCCTTGGCATGTTTTTTTACTACTGGCTGCCCGGCTATCTCTTCACGGCTCTGTCCACCTTCAACTGGATGACCTGGATCGCGCCCAACAACCTCACGCTGGCCATCCTGACCGGCTCGTCGCTCGGCCTTGGCCTGTTCAACCCCATCACGACGTTTGACTGGAACGTTGCCACGTCGTCGTACGCCGCACTCGCGCAGCCTTTTTTCAGTACGGCCACCATGTACGTCGGCAGCTTGCTGGGCGGCATGGTCATCCTGGGCATTTACTACAGCAACTCGTACAACACGGGCTACCTGCCCATCAACTCGTCCAACGCGTTTACCAACAACGCCACCGTCTTCGACGTCAAAAACGTGATTGTCAACAACACCTTTGTTGACTCGCTGTACCAGGAATACTCGCCGCCCTTTTACACGGCCGGCTATATCCTGACGGTGGGCGCCAATTTTGCGTTTTACCCCGTGTACTTCTTGTACATTATGGTCAACCAGTGGAAGACGGTGTCCGAGGCCTATGTCAACTTTTACAAGGGATTGCGCTACGGCCGCGGCAACTACGAGGGCGCCAACGACGTCCACAGCCGCCTCATGGCCCGCTACAAAGAGGTCCCCGACTGGTGGTTCCTTCTCATTCTCGTGGCCGCCGTCGTCGTGTCCATTGTGTTCTTGCATATCTACCCGCTCAACACGCCCATCTGGCTCATTTTCTTGGTGCTCGGCATCAACTTGGTGTTTGCTGTCCCACTGTCGTTCTTGTCAGCCACCACCGGCACCAACCTGAGCCTCGGCTCCCTGATCCAGGTCATAACGGGCTACCTGCTCCCGGGCAACCCAAACGCCTTCTTGTTCGCTCAGACGCTCGGCTCGTGGGCCCTCGCTGGCTACGGCGACAATTACGTTCAGGACAACAAAATGGGCCACTATGTCAAAATTGCGCCCCGTGCCGTATTCCGCTCGCAGATCGGGACCATTATCATTACCTGTTTTGTTGCCGTTGCCACCCAAAACTTCATTCTGGACCACGTCAAGGGTTTGTGTACTCCGAACCAGCCCAGCCGCTTTACGTGTGCCAACGACGGCAATCCCTTGTATGCCAGCTCGCTGATGTGGGGTCTTTTGGGCTCCAACCGCATGTTTGGCTCGCTCTACCCGCTGTTCAAGTGGTGTTTCTTGATCGGCTTCTTGATCGCCCTCGTGTTCCTCATCGGCCAAGGCTATGGCCCAGTCTATCTGCCCCGTGTCCGCGTCTGGTTGCGCGACCGCGTGCTGTCGGCCCGCGTGTTCCGTGTTCTAGACGCAACTCTCTTCCCCACGATCGGATCCTTGCTCTGGCTCAACCCGGTCCTGGTCATCCAGGGCATCCAGCACTGGGCCCCGTCAAACATGTCGTACAAGACGCCCGGCATGATCTTGAGCTTCATCTTCATGTATTGGCTGCCCCGGCACCGTCTCGCCTGGTGGGAACGCTACAACTACACCTTGTCGGCGGCCCTGACGGCCGGTGTCGCCGTAAGTGCGCTCATCATGTTCTTTGCCATTGGCTACAACCCGGTCAGCCTGACTTGGTGGGGCAACACTGTCAGTGGCGCCGGCATCGACGGGAAGGGCGGTGCCATTCTTCCGTTGCCGGAGCGGGGCTACTTTGGTCCCGCAAAGGGGACGTTCCCGTAGGGAATGGCATTGCCTACAGAGGTATGCAAGCGACGAGCTGCAAAGGAGACAGCGATGATGATGGGGATGATGTTGAGGTTGACAAGATCATGAAGGACGTCAGTACGATCTGTTCTAATACGCGCTATGAAATGAAACGATCTATGAATATACGACTGCTTGCTTTCTCTTTTGTGTTTACTTGACCGTTGCCGCCGCAGGAACTGCTGCCTCTTTCAAGACGACTCGCATTGGCGGCGTATCCCAGAGGACATAGGCTTTCTGATCCAGCCAGTCGAGCGAGTCCGGCGTCTCAGGCTCGGCCAGCGTCAGGTCAAAGTTGTACAGCACCTGTGCCAGCACCAGACGGGCCTCGGCATAGGCCATGTTGCGCCCGATGCAGTTGCGCGGCCCGACAGAGAACGGCTGCAGCGCCTCTTGCCGGTCTTTGGCATACTTTGCCTTGTTCTCGCCCAAGAACCGCTCAGGCCGAAACTCGTTTGGCGCTTCCCAGTATCCGTCGGCGTAGTTCATTGCCATCTGCCAACACGCGACCGTTGTGTTCTCCGGCACAAACACGCCGGCAATCATGGCCCCACCCGGCGGCGTTACCCGCGGCATCCCGGTGGCGGACGGCGGGTACCGCCGCAGCGTCTCGTTGATGCACGCCAAGACATAGGGAATCGTGGCCGATGTGGCCGTGACCAGTGTGATCTCCTGGGCCGAGGCAAACGCGCCGCGCACTTCGGCCGTGGCACGGGCCATGGCCTCGGGGTTTTTGAGCAGCAAATACGTCGTGGCCGTGAGGAGTTTGGTTGTTGTCTCGGAACCGGCGATGACGAGAATGCCCGCGGTGCCCGCAATCTGTTGGATGGTGAGATGCGAGTGCCAGTCCTGCTCGTTCTTTTCCACGAGACCTTGGATCAAGTCCGGGCGGCGGTCCACCAGGGCCATGCGGCGGCGGATCTTGTCGATGCCGCCCTGGCTGTGGGCTTTCATGGCCTTTGGGAACAGGCGGGCCAGCAGCGGGAACACGTAGCCCGTGATGCTCGTGAGCTTGCAAAACAAGACGGCACGGCCCGTGTAGACGGCGGTCATGGCGTCGATCCAGGGCTGGCGGCCGTCGTTGTCGCCGGACGCCAAATAGCCAAAGGGCTCGCCAAAGGCCAGGTCGCCGATAATGTCAAAGGCGGTCCAGCTGTACCAGCACAGCATGTCGGCGCTCTTCCCCGAGGGGTGGTTGGCGATGTCGCGCAGGCGCTGGACAAGCAAGGTCACGTACTTTTGGATCATGGGCGCCTGGTCGCGCATGGCGCGCTCGCTGAAGCCGGGCAGCAGCTGGCGGCGCAGACGGGCGTGGTTGGCGCGCGACTCGGACATGATGTTCTTTTGCACGTTGGCGTTGCTGTACATGCGGGGGTCCTTGCTGAGCTCGTCGACGCCGCAATGCTGCTGCTGCTGCTGTTGTTGTTGCTTCTGCATGCGAGCAATGTCCTCGTCGTCTCCGAGATCGCCCTTGGTAGCCTTGCCGCCCTTCAACAGGTCGTTTCGCCGTCCATAAATGTCCTTCCAGGCGGCAACATCCAGAAAGCTCAGCTGGTCGGGGGCGATGCGCACAACGGGCCCGTAGCGGTCGTGCATGGGCAGGACGTCAAAGGGCATCTTGCCGCACATCGTGCGGTATATATACGTTGCACGCGTGGCTCGATGCAAGAAGGGGCCTGGAAAGTGCCGCAGCGGGTGGAAGTAAAGGTTGTAAACAACATTGTAGGCAAAGTAGAGCACGACCTGGGGCTTGTGAGCGAGAGCAGCAAATGGGCATGGGAATGAAACCGAAACTGAAAAGGAATACAAAAGGGACAAGGGAATCAGGAAAATGGATGCATACCAGAAACAAACTCGTGTTGGCCAGGCCAAAGGCGCTGAAAGGCTGAATCGCCATGTTGTCGTCGAGAAAGGGATGAAAGAAGCAAAGAAGAACAAAAGCAGAGAAAGTAACAAGCAAAGTAAATTACCAAGACCGCAGCTGGGTGTAAGTCCCACGAAGAAATAGAAAACGACGGAGAGGTGGCCAGAAACAGGGAGCGTCTAATAGCGTACAGCGCCAAGACGTGGTTTGTTTACTTCTAGGGGGAGAAGGAATAGTGCGACACACGATGTACGCACAGGCCTCCAGAACCTCCACCTTTTTGTTCTTTCTTTGTTCGTTTGTTCTTTGTTCTTTTTGCACCTTGGCACGTTGGAGTTGGACAATAGATATAGAAACAGGAGGGACTAAAGAGACTAGAGAGGGCGATGAGACTGAAGATACTGGAGATACAGAAACGCGAGCAAACGTGCGCTTTGGACTTTGTGGATGGATGGCGGCAACGATTGCGCGACATGAACCAACTTGAACGAATCAAACGAGAGGCATCCATGACAGGGATACGAGGTTCGTTGCGCAACACCAACCGGGGTTACTCGGCCAAATACTGCATTTGGAAATTGCAGCCCAAGAGGCCCATCAAAATATTCAAGGGTGGTCACATGGACGACGAGTACCTCTCGTTGGTCCAATTCCGGTAAGATAATCAAGAATATTGAAGAAAGGGATATGCAGAGCAACGTGGGGGCAGAAATATTGAACAGCAACCAAGGAATACAAACTGTCTGTTGGCACAAGGTATGATCTAGCCGACATATTGCGCCGGTGACAATTGTGAGGACGTCGGAGAGAACAGGGCTTACTCTGTTGTTTTCGAGGCGGAATCAGCACTCGGGAGCGGCCGTTGGTCTAGGGATATGTGGGGTCGGCTGTTAATACAACATCAAACGGACAAGTCGGTGGAATTGTTGCCCGCTGGAGATATGCTGGAATATACGGAGCTTCACAGGTGCGATAGATCAGCTACGTAAACAAAAAGTAAGGAGAGACATCCTGCGAGGAAGCTGAACGGAAAATACGATGCCAGTTCAGGCCCAGACCAGTTCAAGCCCAGAAACATAAGGTCACACGGAGTGATAAGAGGGCAGAGTTGAGGTGATGAAGACGGTAGTCCTAGAGCCTGGGCTTGTTTCGTCTTTCTTTTTTTAAAACCAATATTAATATTATTAGGAACAATGAAAATGAATAATTTTCATTCTTTATAATTGACGTCCATCTAATGTGTTAGAAATATTTGAAATAAATAAAAAAAAAGCTAGCGACAACAAAAGCAATTATATTCCCCATAAAAAAGTCGATTCAAATCATATACATTTAATTCACTTTTGCGAGACTTTGCTATATCCAGTAAGAACAAAACGTCAAGTACGGCCGTGACGAAAAAAGTACAATGCAGCTCCAGCTCATGACGTGTCATTGTACATCGTATCACGGGCGTACACAAGCAGCAACGCCATGTCCCAATACACCGTGACTATTCTATCCAAGAGCTTCTCTCTCGCCCTACCCCTCTCGTAAATGACGAATTATATACGGAGTACGGGGGAAATAAATCTCTAAAGCTAATGTGCTGTACCGCTTTTGTCATCTGGCGAGACAGTATTGGGAATCCACGATAATTACTTCAGGCCTGTCATGTAGCCTTGGTGTTAGTGGCCTAGCGGTTGCGGCTCAGAGATGGCTTATTCGCCAATTCACGTGACCAGCTGATCGTCGTGACGTGCGCCCACTGTGCCACAGGAAGGTCCGTGGCCCCTTAGCGCCTTCCCCCAATCTTAATTGCCTTTGCGCACCTTTACGACAGGAGCGACCGACGATCTGCATCAGCTTTTGGGCTATCGACATTTACAGAGGAGGACAAGGCAATAGTCGGAAGCTCTAGAGCGCACCAGCCAACAAAGGACAGGTCGCCGTCTTGCCAGACAGCCGCCTCGAACCGACACACGCCAGACACAATGGCGGGCCACGCCAAGGATGCGGGCTACGAGCCGGTTGCCGGGGTGGATGCCATCGACGGCATGGAGCTCGAGCAAAGAGACAAAGGGGCGCGACGCTCTGGCGACGGCAAAGACCCATTAGGCTACCGCAGCGTCTCCCACGAGGACGATGCCGCTGTCGACGACGGCGCCGACGACGAGACACGGGGCTTTCTTGCATCGGCATCCGGTGGGGCCGGCACCGGACCATCTGGAGCGACATTTGTTCCGGCGAACCTTCACCATCGATCGGGCGACGATGCCCCGCCGAAGTGGCTGTCACGGCGCACCGTCCGCGTGGTGGCCATCTCGTTTGTGACGTGTCTGGCCGTCTGCATCGGCTTCAAGTTTGTCGCGGACAACACGGGCTTGGTGCTGTCGCTGGCGCATGCCCAGGAGGCGGACGGGGACGGCAGCAAGGACAGCAGCGGCAGCAAGGACTGTCGCCCGACGACAGTGACCGTACCGCAGTACTTCCAGACGACGCCGCAGCTGTTTGCGGGCCCTACCGCGACGGGGCGGCCGGCGTTTCTGGCGCAGACCGTGACCATTGACCCGACAGCAACGTACGTGGCCAACCAGCCGCTGCAGACCAACATTCTGGTCGACGGCGTGCCCTCGGACGGCAGCGGCCGGTCCATCTTCCACCACATGGGCTACCTGTCGCCCTACCAGCCCGCGCCCGGGTTTGGCGTGCAAGAGTATGCGCTGCCACCGGGCGCCGAGATTGTGCAGCTGCAGATGCTGTCGCGCCACGGCTCGCGCTACCCGACCAGCGGCGTCAACGTCAAGGCGCTGGGCGACAAGCTGGCCAAGTTCCGGGGCAAGTTCAAAGCGACGGGGGCGCTGGCGTTTTTAGAGGACTGGGCGTATAGTCTGGGTCACGAGATCCTGGTGCCCAAGGGCCGCCAGGAGCTGTTTGACTCAGGCGTGCTGCACTCGTACATGTACGGCAGCCTGTACAACCCCAACAGCAAGATCATTGTGCGGACGACGACCCAGGACCGCATGCTCAAGTCGGCCGAGAACTTTATGGCGGGTTTCTTTGGTCTAGAGTGGTGAGTTTGCACATACCCCCCCTTCTTTTACCCCTGACCATCAGGATGTCCCACAAATGTCGCTGACAAGGTTAGGACGAACAATGCTACCATCGAGGTCATTATCGAGCAGGACGGCTTCAACAACTCGCTCGCCGGCTACCTCAATTGCCCCAACTCGCAAAAGGACACGGGCGGCAACGAGGCCAACGCCATATGGGTCGAAAACTATCTGCGCAACGCCACCGCACGCTTCCAGGCCCTGCTCTCCGGCACCAACGGCTTTGACTGGACCATCCAGGACACCTACGCCGCCCAGACCATGTGCCCCTACGAGACGGTCGCCTATGGCTTCAGCCGCTTCTGTGACCTGTTTACGTACGACGAGTGGGTCGGCTTTGGGTACTCGACCGACCTGGTGTTTGCCGGCGGCAGCGGCTTCCAGTCGGCCACGGGGCGGGCCGTCGGCCTTGGCTACCAGCAAGAGCTGGTCGCGCGCCTGCGCAACCACACGCTGGGCTACGCCGGCTCGCAGATCAACACCACCCTCGACAACAACACCGACACCTTCCCCCTCAACCAGAGCCTCTACCTCGACTTCTCGCACGACTCCAACATTGTCAGCGTCTTGACCGCCCTGGGCTTCACCCAGTTCGCCCAGTTCCTGCCGCCGTCGTCCTACCCGGGCCCCCACAACTTTACCCTCGCGCACGTCGTGCCCTTTGGCGCGCGGCTCGACGTGGAGGTGATCCGCGCACCGAAACCCGTCAAGGCCGACCGCAGCGGCTACGACGACGCCGGCCCCGAGACCAAGTACATCCATTTTGTGCTCAACCAGCGCACCCTGCCGCTGGGTGCCAGTTTCCCCGAGTGCGACGTGTCGCGCGTCGACGGGTGGTGCGAGCTCGAGACCTTCTTGCGCGTGCAGGACGCCATGGCGGGCCGCGCCAAGTTTGACGAGGCCTGCTTCGGGCCTTTTACGGCGCAGCCGTACGGCACAATCACGGACGGCGCCCCAATCTAGGTTGGCGGGGATGGAGACCGTTTTCTGTACTTTTTAAATAGCCTTGTACATGACACTCTTATTGGCGTTGGGGTATTGTCATACTGTCGTTTCTTTTTATTCTGTCCATCTAGCCTGTACGAACAAATGTACTTTCTTTCATTTGAGGGCAAACAGCCCACCGTTTTTAATTCCATGACATCGTCGGCCTGCCCTATGTGTCCTTCCAGCCCATCTCTTGGGAGTAAATACAATCTACCTGCGGCACATCCCAAAACACGCCTACTCTCTCTCCAACACGACCAGACCCCACTCGTGCGCCTCGCGGCCGTACATGATGTCGCTGATCCACGACTTGAACTGCAGCGTGTACTTTCCGCCTGTGGACGACGCCATGGGGACCGGAATGTCCTCGCCGCGGTGGTGCACCATCGACACGGGCGCCACAAAGTACGCCGTGCCCGCGGCAAACGCCTCCACGAGGCGGCCCTCCTTCTGGGCCGTCTGCAGCTCGGCAATCGTGTAGCGCCGCTCCACCACCTCGACCTCGCCGGCCAGCCGCTCGCGTGCCAGCTGCACGATGCTGCGGCGCGTCACGCCGTCGAGGATCAGACGGTCGTCGAGCGGCGCCGTCACCAGCTGGGTGGTGCCGGCGGGCGACCGGAGGACGACAAAGAAGTTGCTGGCGCCGGCCTCGGTGCAGTAGCCCTCGGGCCCGTATAGCCACAGGACCTGGTGGAACCCGCGCGCGCGCGCCTCCATGGTCGCCTGCAGGCTGGGGCCGTAGTTGGCGCCGACCTTGGCGTACCCGAAGCCGCCGACCCACGCGCGCACCATGTCCTCGGGGCTCGTGTGCAGGCGCAGGCCGCCGGCGACGGCATTGAGCCGCGGCAGATAGGTCGCCGTGATGAACAGCAGGGCGGCCCGCGGCGGCTGCACGCCCAGCTGGGGCTGCGTGCCGATCATGGTCGGCCGCAGGTACAGATACTCGTCCGGGCC